TTAAAATAAGGATGCAATATTAAACTCTGAAGCGAATTAAAATGTTGATATATTTTTATAGAAGTATGATAAAAAAATTAGACTTAATCAGATTTTTATTAAATATTAACGACAATAAAAATTTCACTATTTTTTTAGGTAAACAAGTATAATAAAAAATGTTATTATTTAGGTTTAGGTTGAAACCTGCATAAATAAATTACACTAAAACACTGTAATAATGATAGACTATATTTATGTATTTCTTAGCGCGTAATATATTACGACTTTAATTACAACCTTTCAAACTTTACATTTTAAATAATCAAAATATCAACTGAAATGTTTTCAGACCAACTTTTTTTGATAGGCCCACCATAATTATGAAAATAATACAGAGTATACCATGACGGCTAAGGTGGTCATTTGAGGCGATTAAAAACGGAATGGTTCATGATATCTGAATAATTATGTACTTACGTAATTCGAGAAATAATTCAAGGGAGAACATTATTGTAGTATCACAGCGTGGTAATATTGTGTCCTTACGTTGTTTGCAAAAATATGTATAAGAAGTTATTTTAGATAATCAGTTCTATCATGTATAAAGTATCAAGTATAATTCTGGGGAGTGCTATATTTCAATAATTTTAGCAACAGTCATAAGAAGATAGAATTCAAACGTATGTAGCATTTTTTCTCATAAAATCATAATTTGGAATAGTTAAGAGAAAATAAGGTCTCCAGTACAGCAAAATTATATAGTATCTCGGTGGCAATTTTTGAAAAAACATGTTTAAAACATAAGTAAACATTTTAAAACGTTCCGTAAGATCAATGTAAATTTTGAAATTTTTGGTGTTTTAAACACTGTGTGTTTAAAACTTAATAACCTAGATTTGTAATTAAGGAATAGCAAAGTAAAATTAACAATTCAACGTACTGTTTCTTGAATCCACTTTCAAACTCCTAAAATTACGAAATCTTCAAAAAAAATATAGTCTTTTTTTATTTATTAATATCTATTTAATATACATTTCTATTACTTTTTCTTTTAATTCTCTTAATTAATATAAATTAAATAAATTTTCAATGGTATACAATAAGTTAATGAAATCAAATTGGTTAATTGTTTTACGGAGGTACACTTGTTATTACTGTTAACAACTTTTTTGGTATACTACATTGCAATTTATTTATTAATTAAAATTTGTTATTAAAAGAACTGATAAATATCGAATGATCATATTTTAATTTAAGAATCGCCAGCTGAGAAAGACAATGAAAAAAGATTAAAAATGAATTATATTCATTACTTTATAGTATAATCAACTTACAGTATAATGCACTCTATATAAAGTATTTTATTGAAATAATTTATACTAAAATGTTGCATTTCTTAAGTCAAAAAGATTCAATATCCCATTAACAGTGATGCGTTTCCACACATGGTTACACTGTAATGACGGCATAACCCTTAAGCACATGGTTTCTCACGTGTAGTGATACGTCCATGTTTTGACGTCAATGCGCTAAATTGTATTTATATATTCATATGTGGCTAATCCGTAACATCAAACTATCAGGTTTCATGTAAATCGGTCAACTAACTGGGTAATTAAGGTACCCAACCTCTATGCAAGTACAGATTAATGGCTCATTTTTTGTAACGTCTTTTTGTTACATATGTATATTGCAGTTATCAAAATATTTTTGATTTTTATGTAATTTATATGGTTTGATTCGTATTAACAATTTATTAAAATTTGAATACTTATTGTTACTATTTTTCAATAAATTTGTGTAACTACAACAGTGTGTTATATAATAATAATAATATCTATAATTTGATTACTCATAATTTAAATTCAATACTTTTGCAACATCATCAGAATACATTAAAACATCTATTGATTATATGTCTAAGAACTAGGAAATGAATTCATCAATAATCGTTAGTTTAATTCTATATTTCTTATAAACACTGAGTAAGTGTAAAGTACGCGAGAATAATTTTAAAACAATGTAATTTCATATATCGCATATTGTAACAATTATTAAGCGCTAGTCTAATGATAATAACATGGGCACGTTTCGTTATTTATAAAAACAATTGATAATGAAGGAAAATATCTTATTTACTACTAATCATGACAATTATAATCATATTTTGGTGATATTAAACAAAGAAATATTATATTTCAGTTGTAATCTTTTATTACATTCACTGTTTTTACATCTTTCCTGTACTAACAGAATAAAAAAAGTGATAATTTTTAAAAAATAATCTTTTAAATTACACGACACTGCATAAGCGCAATTTCGCTGAAATGTTTGTAGGAGCTTATTATGTTGAACTCGCCCCTCTCTAAAATTTCAACTATCTTAAAAAATATAGTTATTCTGAAATTGTAGAAGGGTTAATCCTATGAGTCGCTGTCCACTTTATGAGAAAAATTGTCATTACTTTAATCATACAAGATTTCATAAATATTTAAATAAGTATAAGACAAGTTACATGATATATGGGATAATATTATTTGTTGCTGTAACTTCTTTTAGCCTCGATGCGTAGCTGAGAAGGTTTTAATTTTATTATTATGTTTCTGTCGTCACTTTTTCTCAGCTCTCACTGGACCGATTTTTTTTAACCATACGCCAAAAGATTATGTCGTATAAATATTTATATCGTCGTATAAAGTTGAAAACGTTTTCCTTTTTCTCTGAAAATGAGAAAAATCATCCCAAAAATCTTGATTTTTAAAATCGATAAATGTCGACATTTTTAAAACTTTTTTCTTAAAACTGTCGTAACTTTTTTTTTTAAATACCTTACATATATCCTTCTTTTTTTGGTATATATATATTTTTTAAATTTCTTTACTCTTTTAAAAGTCTATATCTGCCCAAGGAGGATTCAAAATAGGAATATTTGTATGAAAATTTAACTTTTGAAAATGTTCCGATAATAATGCGTTCTTTAAACATATGATAAATATAACCTTATGTTACGTACTATAATTAAAAAAAAATTGTTCCTACTGATTTTTTATTATAAAATGGCCGCAACGTTTAAAAAGTATACTACTAAATAGTAGTAGATATATAAGATTTTATATTGCTATAACTTTTCGAAAAAAGTATGAATTATTAATTTTTTTTTCTTTGTAAGTGGTATATACATATTCCTTTTAACTGATATACTTTTTTACTTTCATTTAAAACACTGTATAAAGGGGAGGCTACACTGATGAGGTCACTGACATCATCACTGTAGCCTCCCCATTATACAGTAAATCATACTAAATTAATTACAATAGTAAATAGTAGTTCTTGGTGCTTTTGAAATAACTCAATAATTCATTCTAAAAATATTTCATTGGAAAGCTATATTATTTCGTCCCTCAGAAATGTTGTACATCAAATGAAGTTACAATGAAGAAAATACGACCTCAAAATGAACATAGAATTTAAGTAGCTTTACATAGAAGTATTAAGCCTCTTATAAACATTACAAAGTGGTTATGCGGTGACGTAAACGAGATATCATTGTTGTGATTTCACTAAACCGGACGTTAGACGTCAACTGAGATGTTAGTTGTCTCAGAAAAATCTTTGAAAACTTAACATGTTACATAGTGTTATAATAACTTGGCGACGTATTTTTACATGTAGATTTATTTGTACAAACAATAATTAGATATACTTAATGATTTGGATTACTTTTAGAATGAACGCCATAATATTATGTATATCATTGTGTAATTTGAATTAAACCTCTTTAGTTACCTAGTTGTAGTTATTACAAATAAAAATTAAATCAAAAACCAACAAAAGTCATGTTTTAAAATTTAGCATATAAGATTTATTCATTTTTTTAAAGTACAGTTGGTGTTAAAACTTTCGAGTAGTAGTCATTCATCAAACGAATACTAGCAACTAACAAAGTTAAAAAGTTATTAAATTTATATAAATCAACTGACACACCAACCATCACTAAAACTTCAACAACTATGTTTGTTAATGACACAGTTTTATTATCATGCAATAAAGATTTCTTAATTTCTATAAATTATTAGTAATTTATGTAGCCAATTTGATATAATACCCACGGTATCTAATTTAGAGGCTGTGCAAACAAGTTTTGAATTGACAAATTATAAACAATGCAAAACATAACTCTAAGTATTATTATCGGTGTAAATAAGTATTAAAGAAATGACAATATTCACTCAAAAAGAAATCGCTCAAAACTATGTGATATATTGAAAATGTTCTATTAATTTATGTAAATTTTACTAGTATATAAGTTTTGAAGACTGTTCATTACAACTTTCCCACTATCGTAGTGTATCATTATCTTAACTATACATTTTAAGTAATCTTAGATTATAAAGTTAGTAAATAGCTTTGATTAAGACCGCAATGTCGTTTCATATTAATATATTGAAAAATAAATTATTATCCATAAATAAGGTATCTACTACATCTCTTCGAGCCCAGTTTTATGGCGAGGCGTAGTGAACTCATAATTATTAACTTTGTTACAAAAAATGTATAATGAATAAAATATCCCATCAGATATAAGAAAATGAGATTAGAAAACATTTCATAAGGAATATAAATTTCAAGTACAAAAAAAATTTATAAAAAATTGTACTTCGAAAATAATGAACTTAATATAATTCTGTTATGAGTTATTTTTATTAATTGTAACAAATAATAAATCATTAGAATAGTTATACTTATACAAAAACGTTTATATATATTATAGCACACTGAGTCAAAATTAAAGTTTTTTTGTGTATATTATAAATATTAGCTAGTGTATTTTATAAAATTTAAACTAAGCCATCTTAAAAATCTGTTGTGTAGTAAGGAGGGTTGAAGAGGCTGCAGCTACTCTAAAATCTATTTACTTTCCCCAGTAAAGTATTTACGTACTGAAGGCGTTAATAAAAACTTGTTAAACACTATGGTTATTCATCGAAAAATATGCAAGTCAAAAAAATTTGGCTTACCTGGTTCTCTTTTTGAAACACTCGTTGCCGCTCACAGCGTTTGTGTACATGGCAACTAACTGTATTGTATTTTTCACAGAATAATTTGTTGATAGTCATAGTAGAAATCATTTTTGCTAATTTTTTAAGACCAGGTGCAACAAATTTATTCTTCTGCAACCAAACCACCGGGTTTATTGGAGATACGGGCATGTGCGCCGGTTATATAATGGATATATCTTTTTTTAATTCTTATGCAAATAAAATCAATTACCTTTAAAATGATAAAGAAATTATTAATACTAGTTCAAATATAGTAATTTAATTAGTAATTCTTAAAATTTAATTGAAATAAATACTTTTTTTAGTTAAAATATTTATACAGATTGTTCAACCATCTTGTGGTTCAATTTGCTGAAAGTTTAGTTACCCTAACTATGTATGATATTGTTTTATTATATAGACCATGGTAATGGTTACTCAATATATTTTTTCTGTACACACCATTGATATACAACATTATGAATTTGTATATTTTTAATATCAACTGATTAAATTAAATACTTTTCGGTTAACTATTTCATAAAATGCACAGAGAGTACATTAAAACTTAAAATCACGATTTTTTTATGATAGATTTATGCAAACATATTTTTGTTCAAAATGAAGATGTTATTAATATATGCTATTAAAAGTTATTTAAATTATAACTAATTATATTACCATTAACTGTCAAAATTTATCAAATAAACATGATTGATCATATAACATTAAAAATAATAAATACTAATAAACTTATTGATGTACAAGTTGAACCACTTATTTGAAAAACGATGTAAGTTACAAAATTTTGAAGATTGAATTTTCAAGTAAAATATATTATTTATTAATAAAGGCTTCATTTATGAAAATGTTAATAGAAATTTTTTTAAAGTTCAATAAGTTCGAAAGTTTTAAAAGATGTTCAAGAAATTGTGTAAGTATTCGTGTTCATATAAATAAACTTTATGAAGATTCTAAGTATAAACTTACATTAGTAATTCGTACATTTATAATCGCAAAGAGTTATGTGTTGTAAAAATGACGCAAGCACAGATTTTTCAAAACATCCCCTTATGTTAATTATGGTAATTAAATTTTTTTTTATATATAAACTCGATATAACTCATTGAATAATTGTTGTTTCAAAATAACACACCAATGGTAGATTAAGAACAGTTTTTTACTGAATTTAATACTTTTGAACTTTTTGTTTTTCAAAGAAATGGTTCAATTAGAGAATTGTAATATTTTAGTTCAATTAATATTTTGACATATTTTTTGGTGTCATTATAATCTATTCAAAAATCAACCGAATTACTATTGTTGAGATGATAGTAAGAATAATGAATGAATTTCCCTGAGTGGTAATATAGTTTAGTATAATATAATAAAAACCATGAAATACATTAAAGTACAATTACTTTTCAATCCTCTAAATAATTTAACAATAATTAAATTTATAATTTTTTTAAAGAAAAAATAATTTCTTAATTTCTTTAAGATAACCTCGACTTAAGTTGTTAATATCTATTATACTAATATGCAGCGCTTTAAAAGGAAAGTGAAGTTTTTCATAAATGAAGGTTACGGTGTACATAAAAATCTTATAAAAGTACATTAAATCGGCAATACGGTTTTTGGTTTTTATTGTTATTTTTTAATAACATAAGAGTAAATCTACATTAATATTGAAATACGGAAATTACAGCGAAAATGGTATATGGCCGTTTTCAAGGTTTTGTCCGACTGATACATACTACTTATATACACAATATTATTATCCAGTCACCAAAACTTGTAATATCATGGTCAATTCGAATGAGAAATCATTGTTGTATTTAACAGTGTCAACGGAAAATGCAGGCGGTACATATTTTATAGCACCTTAAACTATATTTGAATAATAATTTTGTTAAAGGGAATCGTAATTACTTATAAGTGCATCATACAAGTTATAAGTACACTATTATAGTGTATTCATTATTATACATATAACATGTTCATGAATTATATGTGACTATATGAGATTTGTATGTAAAATTTATACTTCTAAAATTATGATTATGGTAAATTTAATTTTCACGCGGAGATTAATAAGAGTTTCAATTTCTTAATAATCTCTTTAATAATAAACGTTTTGGTTCATTTTTCAACTTGTACAACATTTTATAAGATCAGATATGGACTTTCAATTTTAATATTTTTAGTTTTTGCATAAGTATTTAAAATTATTTAACTATAGAGAAATAAGAATTATAAAAAAATATTGAAAACAAAACTTTAAGACCATAGTTTATTTCGCTAATAATTATTAAAGTTTATATTTTATAGACATTAAAAACTTTGAATGTAAACAGCTATGCCATCCTATAGCTAATAATTTTTTTAAAATTGTATGATCTTATTTATAATTATCATTTTTATAGCTTTTTTTTTTATAATGGAACATTTTCGACTAAAACGATGAAATTTTAATTGATTAGCAATCTTTCTATACGCCAATTAATGATAAAGCATTAATTTTCGTAAAAAATTAAATGTTAAACATGGCCGCAAATAATGGCCTACGGGTTTTTTCTTGCTTAGAATAAGATGCAATTACATGATTTATAATAGAATAAAACTATTAAAATGTCATTCTCATGCATAATTATAATGAAATGATTTCAAGAAGATCATAATTAATTCCAATCAGGTTGGGAACTATATATTTTTTGGATGGTGATTATTTTACTATATTTTAGCACGGAGGCCATATAATCTTTTTCAGAATTTCAAATTAGTAAAAAAGACTCTTAAAAATGAAATTTATTAGATCTAAACTATCATTTCAAGGTGGTTATTATTAATAGTAATAATTTTATTTCCTTTTATTTTAATTCTTACAATCTTATCATCTTATAATTCTTATTTTAATTTAATTCGAACATTGATAAATCTTGATTAACGATTATAGACAAAATGTAGTCGTAAATCCCTTAAATATTATATTTCAATTACGAGGTATATTTCCTGACTATATACAAAATATTATTTCTGCTACGAATATTTCCGTTGCAAAATTCCTCAAATATATTTTCTTAAATTGTATATTTGGTTTCTATCTATAGGCGTTATTTAATTTTTTTTTTTCACATAGTTATTGCAGAGACTAGTATTATAATAAATCCAATGGTTTATTTTAAATAAAATCCAAGGAGTTAGAGTAAAACTCCCTGGATTGGAGAGGGAGTAAAAATGTTTAAGAACTAAAAAGTCAAAAATAAAAATGTTAATAGTAGTTCTTGCAATTTTCTAGTTTTTAAAGTAAACAAAATTTATGTTCTCCCTGAAAAAAAAAATTCTGCTTGCGTCACTTATATGATACTCGGTATATATTTTTAGTTTAGGTCTAAGTTTCAAAAAGGGAATTTGTTCCGAGTGCTGCCCTCAAATTCTCATCCGGAATGTTATATGTACCACAAATGACACCGCTGTCTCTAAGTAACTCTATTTAATAATTACTTTTAACCATCTTACTTTTTTAGAAGTTTATTACCATAATTAAAATTGCATAAATGAATAACGTTTAAATAATTGATCGAATTTCGGTTATTTTAATAAAACAAATGTTATAGGTTTTGTTTTTCGTAATAGGCATACTTATAATTATTATTATAAAATGATAAACTGTAAGATAAGTAATATGATACCATTTTAAACATTATCGATTAATTTGTTTTATGTTTTTTCTTCAAAAATTGTAAGATAAAGAAAAATTAAATTATTAACAATGAAATAATTTATAATAAGGTGAAATTTATCTTTTTATCGTATTAAATGTACATATTTCTATCTAATGTATAATGCACATTTATTATTTTAACAATGTCATTATTTTTTTCTATTAAAACGTCGATTTATGTAGAAGAATTGATAAATAAAATTATGAAATTCTTTAATTATCAAGAAAATATTCAGCTTTGATAACAAATAATAGTTTTATAAATTATTACGTGAAATTATATTTCAATATGATTTATACATTTTATACTTACTAAAAATGTTTGTAATATTGATTTATTGCTTAAAATACTTGTATAAAAGACTTTTAGAATTCAAATGATGTTAATAATTATTATACCGAAAGAATTTACGATCTAGGTATTTTATTTTATCCGAGATTCACTTTATTTTTTAACTTCTAATCAATATTATGAATTCGCTGTCTGTACAAAGCAGGCTTACTAAAAAACGCGCACTACAATTTAATCTATTAATAACTATAAAAAAATTAAAAACAAATAGTTTTTTAAAATATTTTTTTCAACTATTCACTATTTATTACAATGATTTTGGATTACGAATTGTTTTTTTTTTTTTTTTTTTTTAAATGCGTGATACAAACATTTCGTTTCTGCAGTTAAATATTTGCATGTTAAATTATGCGTTTAATGATAACCGGTGTATAAACGGTTGACTTAGACAACGACGACTAATTTTTTTTCAATGTGCGATAGAAGAAATGTTATTGACCTTGATGAAACGAGAAAAACGGAGAGTGGATAAAGTGATATCCGACTTTAAACGCGGAATAAAATATTTACTAAGTAAATATTTACGGTTTATATTTTATTTAAAAAAATAAAAATACAATAATAATATAATTTCAAACAACATATTCTAGCACCTAGAATAAATACGGATTATATTATAATAATTTTATTACAAAATTTAGTTCCATTGTGAAATAATAGAAATAATAGAAATAAAAGTCTTACTACATGAACTTTTATTCTCATTTTTGAATTACTTAGAATCGCTTCTAATAGCTGTGCAGTGTAAAAGTGATTTCATATATATATAACTTATATTAACTTCCGTGGAAGTTAATTTCTAAATTATTTTATATTATCCTATATATTACAAAAACATAAATTCTATTTCCGGTTGCAAAAGGATAAGCTAAATTACATAAAAATAATTATTAAAGTGTTCAAATGGATACATTGAATACATTTCAAAATAGAAATATTAGGGAAATATTTTATTTTTAGTTGTTTCATAGAACTTTAAAACACAATTTATAATACGTTATTACTAATTTTTGTTAAAAAAAAAAATAATTAAAAAAAAACTTTAACGTCATTAGAATAAAAAATTAATCATTTGAAAAAATGGGATTCTTCCAGAAAAAGTGTTTTTTTTTTTTTAAATACTCTTTTATTATTTTGAATGTAATATATAGTGATTAACGTATACATAAAAATAAAATCTCAAATAATTGCTATTACTTGAGAATACTTTTGTTGAGTTCCACTATATTGAAGTCTATAAAATATATTCTGTTAAAGTCAACAGGTTAGTTTGATCAATTACATAGAACTTAATTGAAAATACTCAATTGCTGGTTACTTGTGATAATTTGACATAAAGCAACTTTTAATATTAGTGAAATCATGTATATTAATATTTATTAATATCTTTGTTCATTAAAATTGTTACGCATTGTATTTTATTATATAACTTAACATGAACTAAAATAAAAAAAATTAAATGATCTACTGTTTTGAAATTTTTGTTATGATTATTCTCTAAAAACGTATGATCCAAAAACTATAAAACTTACAATCATTGAATCCTACACAGGAATTAATGTAATTCTATCACTGGCAGTAGAAGTAGATATTTACAACACGAGAAAATAAGAGTTGATAGAAAGTTATGGATATTTCTAAAAAATAAGGAAAATAGGGCACAACGAAAAGTTTTTCCACGGGACTCTTATTTAAGGAGCTGACAAAATTAGTATACAATTGTTTTAGAAAAAAGATATCAGAGACACTGAAAATTTATACAATTAAAAAAGTTTCTATGGTTTTTTCTACTATTAAAAAAAAAATTATATTTTTCATTAATTGAAATTAGAGTATAGGTAATGCTTTTATTTAAAAAATGATTCATATTAAAAGGCGATTATAAATATAATTAAAATATGTTGACTTTTTTTGGTATTTTTACACTTCAATCTGGTATAATAATATTGGCCGTATCATATATTGTAAGTACATTATTTATTTTATTAAATTCATTGTGTTTCATATACAATCTTAAACATTTTGAAAGAACTAACCGTGAAGCTTTACTTTTTCCTCAGGTTTTCCGTAGCCGTTTATTTTACTTGAATACATACGTACATTACAATAAACTAAACGTACATTGTAAAAAGTATTTAAATACTATCATTTAAGTTTAAACTACATCTACTTTTTTTTCTAACGTCTCTGTATTTTCCATTCCATATTCCTTTGCAGCATCCTCGTCTGAAAAACTTTAGACGTTTTTAAATTTTTTTTTTACTGAATTTCGTAATATTTACAAAACTATACAGCATTACTTATAATGACCTCTTACAGATAAAAATACATAGTTAAATCATGCATAGTTATCTGTACACGTTTAAAATACAATCAACACTCTGGAGCTTGGGAAATCTAATTCATAGTCTACAAAATATTAAATTTCTGATAGTAATTTAAAACGTAATCAAGCAATGCATTAATGCAAATAGATGTTAGAATATTCCTATATCCGTTTTCTGAATTTCTTTCGACACTTGGTAAATGTAGAAATAGTATTTATAAGTTAGTATGTATTAGGTCAGCTATAAATTTATTATTATTAAAGCTTTGAGGTTAAATAAAATTGAGATGGGCTCTGAGATCTATAATAATTTTGTATAAATTGTCAAAGACCATAAAATTTTTTAAATCTTGTAAAAATGTTCTGAAAATTTTCCTCTTTTGTTTAGATAATCTTTTTATATATGCTGAATAATATCTTATTTTAATTGTTATTAATTCTTTAGACGATTGCGATTTGTTCTATGTTAACCAATATGTTAAAATTAGACTCTGAAGTGCCATGTAAGACTCAATTATCGTTTTTATTTCTAAAATTATTTTTAACTTTATTTTTAGTACCTTGGGTTATAGTAATAATAACTTGTATATGTGTAATTGTGACTTGGTCTATAGCAGCGACAGGTGCGTTTATAGTAAGTTTTATTAACCTAAAGATATGTATTATTATTTATGCATAAAAAATTGTAGAGGTCAACAAAAACGGTCAAAAGTGCTCTTATTATGTGGACTGTTTTTATCATATTATGGATTTTTTTGTTTATTTGGTCGTGTTTCCCGTCAGGCTTAAAGTAATGATAAAATAAAAAATAATTTTTATTTATCTATTTTGAGAAAAAAATATCATGGCAGTATAAATAAATTGAAGCTTTACGATTTATTATTATTTGTATTTATTTAGAAACGCCTGTATAGAAAATCATTGTCCAGAAGCCATGTGGCTAGTGGAAAATCCTTGGCAAAAGATTTTGTTGTATCATGATTATTCACCTGAATCAAATGATGCCGTTGCTATTTCGTCAACAAAACTTTCAATTCCAAGTTCCAATGTTGAGACATCAGCTTTTAATGTATTAAGTGACCGAAAGAGTGATGATGTTAATCCGAACAAGGACAAAGAATTAAAAAGCCTTGAATCCTACAATAACGATATTGATATTAATAATTGTACTTGTTGTCACGAAAAAACAGACATGAAGTATCGAATTCAAACGAAAAAAATAAAACACCGAAGTCAACAAAGTGCTACCATAATTGTAGTGATTATGTTTGTATTATTTTTTTGTGAGTATATTATTTTATTTATAAACAACTACAAATAATCTATACACCAGAGGTAAACTGTCGCAAGTCATATATTTTTTTTGGAAATCTGTCTTGTGATAATTTTAACTTAAGTATACAGATTAAGATCGTTTATTTTAAACGGAATATTGACAAAACAAAATAATAGTTTTTCTATTTTTCAGCATATTTTTTATATGGCTGGATAATACTTTACAGTTATAAAATATATCTAAAAACAAAAAAAAAAGTTTCAATATCGACTTTACATGATGTGCCAGAGGATAATAATTTTGTCGGAAGCTGTTAGAACTTTATTTTTTATTTCATCATATTTATTGTGACTATACTTGTACTTTAGTGTGGACTGGTTTAGATTGATAATTTTTTTGTTATTTTACGTTAGTTTCATTGTATTTATAACAAATATATATTATATAAAATTATATTTAATTATATAAAAGCAAATTTAAAAAATGTTAATATATGCTAATTTTTTGCTCAAGATGACCCACTTAATTTTGTTTCTTAAGTCAAATATTCAAACTAGTTCGAATAATTGACTGTTAACATTTATAATAATTTATATTGTAAAAAAAATTTACCATATTTTAGGCAAACTTCAATTATACTTACATGATTGAATATATCTCATTGCTTTCCTTTGAGTTGATTTATCAGTTGTCATACTCACATTTAAATATACTATTTAAATAAACAATTATTTGCATATTAAAAAAAATGTAGAATAGCCTATGATCATTTTTAATAAAACTTAACAATTTATTATAAATCTTAAAGATTTGTTTTTAATAAAATTTTGCATTTGAAATTTTTCTTTCAATCCTTATTTGTTATCATTAGTAGATTTACAAAGGGGGTCCAGAGGGATTAGACCCTTTCCAGACACCGATATTTTTACATTATTTAATATGTAGGGTAAGACTGAAATGTATTCAAGTAAATTTAATTCTTGCGGACCCCTTCAAAAAATTATGAAAATCCATTATTTTTTTCAGAGTGAATCATTGTTTTTCTATATATTTTAAAAAGCGTTTAAAATTTAAATCGTAATATTGTACTATCAGTACATATCTTACAAATGAGTCATTAATAGTATCATCAGTTCAAAATTATAAATTATTATGAATTGACTTCAGATAATATTAGATATAATTTTACTGTATAAATTCTTGTAAATATTTCTTTTCAATTTCAAATAGAATTGTAATTATATTTAAATGTTCATGTTTGTTAGATAAAAGAAACTGCAAATCGCTTGTTATTTTCCTTATTTTTTTGTACGTGTTAAATTACGCCATCAGTATTTCAAGTTAGTTAAATTTTAGTTCAAGTTTAATATATTTTAGGCAAAAAGATTAAGCAGTTAATCTGATTACTTATTAAAAAAAAAAATAATCAACACAGTATCTATTATAAGGTCCTCATTTAAATTTTGGAAAGTGGTCCTCACAACTTATGGTTGAATTACGATACAATATTAATAAATTATTTGATTATTGAAAACAAATGATTAAGATTAAAAGAATATATTTTTGTTTCTAAGCAATGAGAAAATATTGTTTTTTTTTATATAAAAAAATTAACTGAATCATTATATATTATTTTGATAATCAACTTTAATAAGAAAACGTATTTTTTATACAATGTATGATAAAAAAAAGAAGAAAACATGAATTTTAGTAATGACATGATTGTGACGAGTATTTATATTTCTTGTATACTAATTCAATAAAATAACATGCTGTTTTCTTATATTTATATAATATTGTATAGCATTTTATGTAAGTAAAGCAACAATATTGAATTTTATTTTACTGCAATAAAGTTTCAAAAATTGAAATTGTCTAAAATGATTATTATGTTTTATAAAATTAGATGTAATTTCTCAAGAAATTTCTGGTTATAATAAACAATGTACTTCGTGGGATAAGTAAATAGTTGGTGTTATTGGAAATAATTAATCATAAATAAACTTTGTACAAATATCTAAACGTAACAGGTGGTCGAACTGTGTGGGTGAATGTGGTGGTGCTGGTATTGCATCGCGTTACTGTATCCGGACACCAAATGAAAATGTTTCTTATAAAAATTTGGAATACGAGTGGAAAACGTGCAAACTTACCAGGTGTAGTTTGCAAAACTATGCTGAAATAATCAAAGGAGATGAATTTAGAGAAAAAGAATTAAATTACTTAGAAACGGTTGTTGATAATTGTCAATATAGAGCCATTTTGGACTCTTGCATTCAGGATTATTGTGATTATTACTCTTTAAAGAAAATTCTTAAGAACTATACTGCAAGTATACTATGTAGTAAATAAAACGAATTAATAATTAATATGAAAGGTTTATTCAGGATAGATTCTGGAATGCTCTATTGTGTGTTAAACATAACTTAGGTTGTCCCAGTAAGTCACCAATTAAATTAACCCAATTTATCACACGCATAAATTAGTGGAGTATTTTTGGAAATATTTTTAACTAAACATATTTCTAGCAAAAGGAGGTTGGAGTGATTGGACTTTATGGTCAAAATGCACAGCTACATGTGGTCCTGGAGTTCAGTATCGTTTGCGATATTGCAATAATCCAATGAATTCAAAAGATTCGCTCAATTGCACGGGGAATTCTATTGAATTCAAAAATTGTTATGGTCATTTATGTGAATCTAAAACAGGTACATAGCTTAATAAAATCAAAATAATATTTGATTGTCAAGTATTATTTTTTCATAATTATAGATGGGATTTGGTGTAAGTGGTCTGAATGGTCAAAGTGTAATGTTCGACAAGGTAACGGAATCACCGCTCGTAAACGATTTTGTAAGGCCTCGAGTATTAATAACGGATCATCGTGTTGTGGGTCTCATACTGAAATAAAAAAATGCTACACGCCAAAAGGCAAGATTATTAAAGGAAATTAACCATTACTTTATATTGTACTATATTTCACCGAGTATAATATAAATATCGTTTTTTATAACAAAGAATTTATAAATGATTTATTTTTGTACGTCCTACAAAATATACAGGGTGTTCAGTAAGTCAGGAAACGGGTTTCTATTGTTCTCATTGTTTGTAACAATGAGAACAATAGAAACCCGTTTCCTGACTTACTGAACACCCTGTATATTTCCTCAAAAAATGAGCGCCAGGGTTTATTTTTTTATACTAATGTTTTAATTATAACATTTTTGCCATGTTAAATTAATAAAATATTAGATACGATCAAAATAATATGTGAAATAAAAGTTAAAAGATCTGCACCTCTTTAATGTGTTTGAACTTACTTTTTAATCAGAATTGAGTTAATTTAATGAGTTTTAATGCCAAGTTTAAGTGTAAAATAATTTGGAAATCTATATATTACACGTTTAAAACTACTAAATTACTAAATTTTTTAATTATATAGTATATGGAGGCTGGTCTGATTGGCAAAAATGGAGTCACTGTTCAACAAATTGTGGAAAAGGTAACAGGTATAAGTTAAGAAGTTGTACTAGACCAGAACCTGAAGAAACAGGTATTGATTGTATAGGAAGCCCAGTTGAAATCGCTAATTGTTATTTAGAACCTTGTAAAGGTATCTTTAAATTTTTTTATTTTATAATAATTTTTTGTTGTCTAAAGTCAATATCTAACTCGTCTATATCTTGGGCTAATTCCCTTTTGCACAATGCCAATTTAGCACTATCATTTTAAATCGCATATCTGTACTGAAATATTAGGCCAAGGTTAAACCTTGCTGAAAATTGTGTGCCGTCTATAAAAAGCCTTAAAGTCTAGTATTAATGATTAAATGACGCTTGAAGTGTAAACACAATCGTTTAATTAATCAAAAATGTTAAAATGTGTCAATAGGTCCACTACTTATGGTATATACATTCGACAAAGACGCGCTTGTTCAATATTCATCTACAAACATTGAAAATTCTATACTCCATATATTTATACGATTTTATCCGCTTGGAGGTACAGGTACATTGTTACGTCGATTTCATGACGATTGTGATAAATGTGATACCGTTGAATTGAGCTTAGCAAACTATGATTTAATTTTAATGGCGTTTTTAAATGGTTGCACTACAAAAATATATACTTCATCGATTATCAACGTAAGAACCTAAAAGATCTTATAAGAATTGTATAAATTAAAGAACAAAATATTTTGAATTATTTAGGTCTAAGTAAAATTTAAAATACTTTTTTCTAAATTTTAATCCGAGTAATAATTATAAGTCATAAAGAATGCCCAATAGCTTATGATCGAGATTTAGGAATTTGAATTATTCAAATGTTTGATGATAAATCAATAGAGATTAAATTACTGTTAAATATATTAATTCATTGTCATTAATGTTAATTATAAGTTTATAAAAATAAATTCAATACTTAAAATTATTAATAAGGCTCTTGTAAAATGTATATTAAAGTATTATACACTATTAAACGTCAATATTTATTAATGTCATCTTCGCTTTATACCTTCAGTTAGGTAAAAAATACACGCCATAACTTTTTTTAGATAAAAAAAAATGATTGTTAAATGTAAAGTTATCATGCATTCTAGTTTTTTCTATGCACCAAAAACTAAATCAATAGTACTTAAATATATAGTAAACACTCATACAATTTTTTCTTACTTAATGTAAAAATGTAAGATTTATCCATTAAAAAATTAATTCTATATTAGTAGTACTTTTTGAATTACAAAAAGAAGTTGTTAACTTAATAATAAATACACCTATTTTTGTTTTATTATTATTTTTTTACTTATTAAACTATACTATATTGAGTAAAAATCTATTCTAATTTGTATAATAGACCTCATATAGCACTTTTAAATTTTATATGCTTAATAATGTTAAAAAAAATATTGAAGATTAAATCAACTTTAAACGTTCTATGAATTATAATGTATTATAATTAATAATTATGTATTATAAAACATTCATTTTTCTAAATATATTATTTTAGATCTAATATGCATGTTAGAATGTGTTTTAAGAGTATTTTGGCAATCTCATCAATCACTATATAATTGGTGTAAAAAATTGTTCAATGTGCTAATAATTAATATACTTAAGTGTTTATTTTGTAAATGTGTAGATTGGTTGGAATGAAGTTACTTTCATAATTACAAAAAACAAATTAGCAATGAACGTCAATAACAAACATTTTTCGGCAAATTTAAAATGCAATTCATCGATAATAAAATGTAACCAAGTAATGAATATTGGTGAAGGTTTTGAAGGTTATATTGAAAAGCTATACGTAAATTTTATACCTTTTGCACTGTCAATAATTAAACAGGTAAGCAATTTAAAGTGATATCTTTTATAACTAAAGTTAATTTATTATTGATAAATGATTAAAAACGAATAATAAATTTGTTTTAAATCTCCTTATGAATGTTATTATTTTTTCCGCAGTAGTTATTAATTTAAGAGCATTTATTTTTAGCGTTGGGATATGTTCTTGCCGTATTCTGCTTTAAACGTAGTTCACGAACAGAATGAAGAAGTTATATACACTGATTTAACTCAAACATTTAAAATACCCTGTCCTCTTAATTCAAATCTTTGGAATGTGAGTGTAATTAAATAATATTTTTAAGATTATTTATGGTTTAAAAAACAAAACACGTAAAAATATCTTAATTAAAGTGAATTATTATTGGCTATAATTTTAAAAGCTGGGACATAGAGGATATGCACCCTTGAAATTTAAATGACTTTTTAAAAATAAAAAGTTACAAGTTTACTCAGTAGTATGTTGAACATTATTTCCTTTGATGCCTCGACTTAAGGTTTGATCATTAGTAAGAGTAAACAATTTTTTAAAATGCGTGAATGTATTTGAATATTGTATTTCTTAATTATTAAATGCTTTAGTGTCTTGAAATTTTTAATCTACTTATTAGTCAATCTAGATGAAATGGATTGGACAACCTTAAATTGTTTTATTTAAATATTATCAAATTACATGTAATCTGATTGCTGTTTTCGTGTATAAATACTGAAAATTTTATCATGAGTAAATCAATTTTATAATTTTAAATACATTTTGTTGAAATGCTCAAGTATATTTTATTTATAAATAAAATACATTGATTATAGTCTATGAAAAAATTTTTGTATGTAGTATTGTTAATAATATTTTAGAATTAATTTTTGAAAATAATATTTTGATGAAGCACGGGATGAACACTTCAATGATTAATTTGAAAGAAAAACTATAATTAAAAAATGTATTTATATACATGATTTTTAACTAAAATAATATAGATATTTTTAAAATAATAACAAAGTGACATTTTTTGAGAGTCTATTTCCCCTCCCTAATTTTTTTCATATTATAATGTATGCCATTTTTCTGAAATTTTGATGTACTAGGTTCCACTTAAGTTCCCTCCAATGTGCGTCTATTTCGAAAATTCTTTACGGCACGTGTTCATTTCTATTAGACTTCTTCTTTTTCTTCAACTGGCCTTAAATACTCTCTAAGGATATTCATATCCATTACTAATTCACTACATTCCTGACTTCCCATTCTGTTAGATTCCTCTTCTACTACATCTAATCTTCGTTTTCTTGGCCATCCTGAAGCTCTTTTTCCTATAGGCTTCCATTCAAGGACTACATTATTTATATCGTTCTCACTACACCGCCATATGTAACCTAGCCATTGGATCCTTTGTCCCCTAATGGACCTTACTACTGATGCCATTTCCTATTCTTCCTGCAGCTTTTTATGTTAATTTCTCCTCCTTGTTCCTTTTTCGCTATTATATACTGGTCCACATATTACCCTCTATATTTTGTTCTCCAAAGTTCTGAGTTTTTTCCGTATTGTTTTTGGTATTAATAGTACTAATTAATGAACTAATTATTATGCCTTGCACTCATATGTGAGCATGGATCTTATTATTGCTATATTCAGTCTTGCCCTAGTTTTTTTTGAAAATACTTTTAACTTGAAGAACTTATTTATTAATATTTTGTTCTTTCTGCTTTTGTATTATCCTTGAATCTATTTCCTTAGCCTCAGTCATTGTTTTTGCTCAATACTGCATCTAGGTACTGAAACTCATTAACGTTTTCGAAAGCTAGGGATTCCATATCATTGTTTCCTTCCTTGTCTAGCAGTTCCGTTATTTTTGTTTTAATCATATCAATTTTTAGGCCTATTTTACTGGCTGTTTGTTCGAGCCCTTTAGCTGCTATTTTCGTACCTTCACGGAATTTATTAATATATTTAAATCATCGGCAAAGCCAAGCACTTGTGTACATTGTAGATCATTGCTATTCCAGTTGTTTCTAACTGTATCTCCCTTATGTCTAATAGGCTAAATTTAACAAAGTGAATCTTCTTGTTTCAATCCTGTACTAACTTCGAAAGCTTTAAGCATTGTTTGTCCAATTCTTATTCTGTATAGTGTGTCTTCCATGCTTATTTCGTCAAAGATACAAGTTTATTTTAATTAATACTTTCTTAAACTAATTTTTTTTTTAACGCATAATAATAATAGTAAAATAAAAGTTATAATAAAAATTTCATTAAAAAGTATTTTATTTTATAAATTTATCATTAGTAGAATATTTTTAGCTAATATCCATGTTGAATAAATTGTAAATTATAGACGATAATACAAATAACGATTGTAGTCAGAAAGGGTCATATTAGGAATAACATTATTAATAATATTTTTACTAAATTGTTAATGGGAATAAAACTAATATCTTTAAACGCAGTAGAAAAATTATAATTTATAAGTAACCTGAAAACAATATTTTTTGATACAAACACCGTCTAAGTATTTTTGCGATCTAAATTTATTTTTAGTATTTTAGTAAATAAAATAAATGTTTTAAAATAGTAATACAAATAATTTTTGGCTTATTCCCCTAAGTGTACCCTCCTGTATAATTAATTTCGACTAGTTATGGTTTCATAACACTACTTTTTTGCGTCTATGGAATTATGTTATTTGAATATTACTCAAGTTAATAGTAAATCCCTATTGAATAACAGTTTTATTTGATAAAATCAAAATTTTCTTGAAGATAGAACTTTATATCAAGATTCAGTCATTGGCTCATGGTAACTTAATTTCAATCAACAATACGTCAGCTGACTACATACTAGTGTCGATTTTAAATACTTTTTTCAAGTTGAATATTAAGGTAGAGGATTATTCGTACGAAAAATTAGTAAAATTTGAAGAAATTGATTCTTCGTGGGTACATTTAGAATTGGAAAAAAAGTTCAACATCATACACATAATTGTAAATGGAGAAAAACATTCCATAATTTTACCAGAAGATGTAGAAAATGAGCTATGTCGTGACTATTTTTACATTGGTTATAATGAAGTAAAATATTAACAATATTTTATATATACACTATACTATATATATATACAATATATACACTATAGAGCAGTGTTTCCCAACAGGTGGTATGCGGTGGTTCGCGGCGCTTACAAAGGGGATTCACCAAAATAATATTGTAGTGGCGGAATTTTGAATAGCCAAAGGAAAATTACCGAGAAAACCGTAACAAAATATCAGATAAATATCCTGGATCCTAGAACAACTAAATTTTAATCAACTTAAAAGGGGAAATTCTTTTTCATGTTATTTCAGAAGTTTTATCTAAATTTATGCAGATATGTAATCTCTTTGTGGACTCCCTGCGTGAGGATAATGTCCTATTTATTAGAATTCAAACACATATCGAGTTCTAAATAAATAAATATAGTTTAAAAAAACTGAAAAAAACGCTTTTAAAGCACATCGAACTAAAAAGTTAAAAATAATTTTTAAAATAAGCTTAAAACAATAATGAACGAAAAATACTAGTATTATTGTGAAAAAAATCGTCAAGCGCTCAATATATGAAAAATATGGCACAAAGCCCCCACGCTTTTTTTCACAATAATACTAGTATTTTTTGTTCATTATTGTTTTAAGCTTATTTTAAATATTATTTTTAACTTTTTAGTTCGATATTCTTTAAAAGCATGTTTTTCAGTTTTTTAAGCTATATTTATTTTTCACTTTTTATTTTTTTATGACATCGTTGTTATAGTCACGGAGTGTTTATTGTCAATTATCACTATCATGGATATAAATTTTGTATTGCCAGTTAGTGTGTTTATAAACTCACAACAATGTGTTCTATTACCATTGATAATAAAAGCTATATGCTTGCTAATATCGTCATAAAAAATCAATTAGCTTCCATGTAATCGTAATCCCTTATGTATTATACATGTATATTAAATCAAAAAAATTTGAATCTTTAAATGTTTATATCTAATAATAAACAATAAAAATTTGTTTATATATATATATTGATGATACGCCCGCATGTACAGATACGAAAACAAAATATTATACAGAAAGATAGTGTTATCGGCGAGCGTTGAGCGAGGTGGGGTGAATACGTTACGACAGTCTAGTCTCCAGTCCATAGACGACGGGATACACGAGATAATAACACATGGCGCGTGGAGAGTTACAATAAACAATACGGTGTCCCGAAGAATTAACGATTTGGCAAATGATGTTGAGAACGAACTCTTGAAGAGAATCAAATTGAATCATTTTGCGATTCAGCTTGACGAGTCAACCGATGTAGCAAACGCCGCAGTATTGATTGTCTACGTTAGATATGTTTCCACGAATATCGTTCAAGAAGATATTCTTTTTGCGAAACCTCTGAAAACCTACATAACTGGAGAAGCAATTTTTGATCTGATCAATGGTTATTTCAAAAAAAAGAAAAATGGTGCAAAATCAATGACAGGAAAATTTTCTGGTTTCGTGGCACGGGCAAAGAAAATCAACGACAAAATTGAATGGACTCATTGCTGTATTCATAGATAAGCACTTTAAATGATGCTGTAAAAAATTGTTAATTTTATAAAATCTCGTGCTACGAATTCTCGTCTATTTTGTGCGTTTTGCGAGAACTGGAAGTGATCACATTTCTTTACTCTTACACATCGAAGTTAGATGGCTTTCCCATGGTAAAGTGTTGACACACTTGTTTGAGTTGAAATCTGAAGTTCAAGCTTTTTTTATTGATCATCCGATTCATTTGTCTTCTTGTTTATTCGATGATTTTTGGCTGCAGAAGCTTACATACTTAGCTGATATCTTTTATAAATTAAATGAATTGAATCTAATATTACAAGGCGCAAGTGTAAACATTTTCACTGTGTATGATAGAATTGAGACTATGCTAAAGAAGTTCAATTTCTGGATCCAATGCCTGCAATTAAATGAGTACGAATGTTTTGGTTCTCTCTGCACTTTTTTATCAGAAAATTCAATTGTACTTGACGAAAACATTAAAAAAAATACAATTGAACATCTGAAGCATCTTCAATTAACTTGTAACAATTCACTAATAGCTAGTTTTAAAAATCAATCTTTAATCGACTTCTGGCTTAGTATCTCTAATAAGTATCCTTTTCTTTCAAAAAATGCTGTTCAAGTCCTTTTACCCTTTTGCACAACATATCTATGTGAAAAAAGATTTTCAACATATACTTATTTGAAAGATAAATACCGGAAATAGATTGAATGCAGAACCTGATCTGAGACTAAAATTGTCCGATATTGAGCCCAACTTTGCATTGCTTTGTTCTATGAAACAGTCACAAATATCAAATTAAGAGTGTTCTTCATACTAGTTAAGTTAAGTCTTATCAAATATGTTTTCATTTCTTGGTTCATTTGAAAAATAAATGTCCTTCAAAATTTGATTGTTTTTTTTTCACCTACCAGTATAGACCAGGGGTTCGCAAAATTCTTCAAGATCTCGGGAGGAGTTCGCAATGAGAAAAAGGTTGGGAAATGCTGCTATAGAGGGTAAATTTTTCAAGATGTTAGAATAAATTATAGTTAAGTGACTCTACTTATAATAACATACATATAATTTTTCGGAAAAATTTATATGTATATAATAAAATATACCATTCTAATAAGGTATATATTTGTATTTAAGTCTAATCGCAACCTAAGATTTAAAAGATTCTGATTTATATATAATATTATGTTTATCAGAGATAGAACCTTTTGGTCCTTTTCTACTGGTCGCAGTATAACGTGCAATAAAAAATTTAAATGTCGTAGAGTAAGACGAGGTAAGATGACAAATTACTAGAACAAAAGTTTAATGTGGCACACAATAATACTGTTTTGTATAATATACCAAACCCAACCGCGTATCTTAATTTTAGTTGTGGTTAGAAATTCATAATTAATATGTTTTATTATAATTTTTGAACATCAAAATTTTAGGTTTAAATATTCTAAAGAAAATTTTTCAAATGTCTGTCTTAAATACTTTAATACTTAACGCCTATTATATAAAAAAGAACCCATTTATTTTATAATAGTTATGGTTAGTATCCTAAAGAGGTACATTAATGTAATAGAGAATATATATAATGGCACTTGTATTAGGGTTAAAAGTTATTGAATGCGATACGAGGATGGCTGATGTGTATGTAGATGAAATGGGAGATTGTGTCATATGGAAGTTTAGGATAAGGGTAGCCGACCCAACGTAGTTGGGATAAAGAAGAGGAAAAAGAAAGAAGAAGAAGAAGCTAGATATTTAAGTAGTTTTCGTGCAAAATTTAGATCTTAAGTTTATTTACAGAAGACAGGAAAAATCATATAAGTTTTACCTCAGCATCTTACTTCGTTTTACTCTATTTCTTTTTCAGCATACTATCAGTTACTACTTTGTATTTAAACTTAACACATTTTTTATAAGTTTATTTTATAATAGTGTAATATCAAAAGTTCTAATATTGAAGGAGTTATTGGATTTTTGAAAGTTGATAAAGAAGTTTTAAATGCTAATAATTATGTTGTTAATTCAATAAATGAATACAATTTTATATTTTACAATGTTTCAAGTAAGAAGTTAGCTAGCTTAAATATTTTTTATTCATATACTTATTTTTTAGTTTTTTTTTAAGATATGATTTACAATGAAATAAAAAAAGTAAATAATGATGAAATAAAATTAAATTGCATAGTCAATAAAAATATTGATTACGAAATTTTAGATTGTACATGGATACGCATTACTGATTTAAGCATACAAAAAATTACCAATGATATGTGGGTATTTTAATAATTAATACTCCTATAATATAAGTTTTTATTTTTATTTTTAGGAAAGATTATTTTGTGACTACTAAAAGATATACATCTCAAATATCAATATTATCAAACTTTAATGAACAAGACCAGTTTTTTTTATATGTATCACCCACAATACAGGAAATTTTTTGTGCTTATGGTGTTATAAGTTCAGATCAAGATAACAATATTGATTTTAAAACATTCCATTATTTAGGGATTATTGTTGGATTGGTAGCAGTACTATCTTTTATTTTTAGTTTTATTGAAATAATTAGATTAATATTTATATGAAATAATATTTTGGCAATTTCATTGTCTATTTATATTAGTGTTCTTTTCAAATCATTCTTGTTCTTGTTCATAAAGTCTAATGAGTAACTAAAATTTAAAAAATTGTTTAGTAAATTTTTGGAAGAGCTTGAAATTTTATTTAATAATTGAAAGAAAAAATATTAAATATTTGAATTTACTAATAAATATGTGTTTTTATATGTAACAATTTATAATAAACATTAAAAAAATATTTCCTACTAATATTTTCTTGGATCATATAAAAAGATACAATATTGATTAATATTAATTAATTATACATTTAATAGAATTATTATCTTAATTTAATATATATATAAAGAATAAAGAAAACAACAATAGTAAAAAGTAAAAGATAACATATGTTATATCCACCACTATTTCTTCCTAGTCTGGTAACACGCCCTAGTGTATTGCTTAGAAAACTTCCAGTAGTTTCAAAATCATGATCCATATCTCTGAGTAACCGATCTTGATATTTAACTTCAGCACCTATGTCAATCGATAGGGATTTAAGTGTGTTTACTTTATTTTTTAGCTGTTCTGTCAAGTCATCATTTTCTTTTTCTATAAAGTCACTGTCATGTGTACTGGTTGAGGGCAATGGATCATAATAATTTCCTCCGTGAGCCCTTCTCATTTTTTAGTCTATATTTTAACAAACACTAAATTACAATTATACTAAGAATACACATTATTATATCAAAAAAATTATATATAATCAATGTGTAATAGCTATAGGAATTTAACATTACTTTTAAATAAATTTTAAAAAAAGATGGTTTATTATACTACTTTTTACATTTTTTAAGTAAAATATTTAATATATTATTTTTATTTTGCTTGTTTACACAATATTAAAAATTGAATAACTTTTAAAAATAGTTAAAAATTAAAAAATGACCGGACAGATTAAAATGTTATGTATTAAAAAGTTAAATGAATTATTTACATATTACATTTATCAAATATTTTCAACTTAAATTTGATATCTAATAAAATTAATTTAAACCGAAACACTTACCTAAATAATCATTAATATATTTAAAAAAATGTTTACATTTCTTCAGTATATGACATGGACTATTTTGCTGTAATGACAGTTGTCTGTGATAAGAAAACAATAAAAAATGATAAACTAAAAGCAATCTTTTTACGTGTTCGGTGTTATCACAGTTTAAATGAAACAAATTCTATTAACCTGTGGCGTTATCAAATTAAACTATTTGATTTTGTAGCACATATATAGATAATAAATTTATTTATTATCTATATCTGTGTTTTGTAATGTCAATTATCAGTTATCATCGCCCGTTAAAAATAATATTGATTGTCTTTAAAATAAAATTAATAAGTTTTATTAATTAACATTACGTCATTAAACGTGTTTTACTATGAGAAATGTTTTTAAATTTCATGCTACTTAGTATATTGTTCTGTAAATATATCGAATTTTGTTTCTGAAGGTTATAGTCTTAAAGCAAAAAACTTAGTTAAAATCAGCTCAAAATGTCTACTGCTTTGTGCTCAAATGTATGTCATTATGAATATTTATTTCTATTTGAGTTATTTTACATAATTTTCTAAAATATGTTGTATACTATATTATTTTAGGAACAAACTAACACGGATTTTCAGTCTAATATCAATGATAATAGTCATATAAATAAGTCACAACCTAATGAAACCCGGTTAGATCCAAAAACTTCAAATGAAAGTAAGAAAACATTATAGTAATTTATCAAAAATTGAGTCTTATTAAAAATATTGATATAGTATGATAAATAATAAAGATATATGATATGGGGTGATAGCTAGGATAATTTTTATTATTATTAGTTTTTTTTATCCCTTGTAAGGGCAATAACATTTTCACTGATATGTGTTTTGACTCATAGAGATTTCAAAAAAAAAAAAAAAAAGGTATTTTTGATTTAATGTATGGGACATAGATTTTAATAATAATTTTATCAAAAACTTATTGTCAATCTAATTCTAAAATTTTTATAGTGTAAAAAAAAATTTATGCATGTAGGGTGTAATTACTGACAATGCTTATAACTTTAAATTCAATTATCATTTTATTGAACACTTTTTTTAGTGATTATTGCTTTCTTAAACTAAATTCAAAGTATAATTTTATTTTTTTTAAATTTCGAAGAAATGGTCATTTTTTAACCTTTTTTTTACAAAAAATGTTGATAGTCAATGGTAAATCAAAGATAAGTATTTATCAAGTGGCAAGCATAGAGTTGGTATAGAACGTGGATGGAGTATATACATTAATATGAGCTGCATATATCCGCACTACACACATATTTTATGAAGTAGATTGATAAATTTAGATAGTTATTTGGTAGTGTAAAAGTTATTCAATTATTGAAAATATATTTCTCTTTTACATACATTTATATTTAGAAATGAATTTTATATTTGTTTTCCTATAAAATTAAAAATTTCAATTTATATATATCACATCTAATTTTATATTCCAGTTGTAGTTTTAATTAAAAATAAAAATATACTAGATATGTGTATACATGATGGTTGTTCGAATGCTGCAGTAGTACATCCAGAATGGGATAATGAATATTGCAGTGTACAATGTTGTTATAATCATTGCAAGTTAGTAAATTATTATTCCATTTATTTATAAAATATAAATGTGTTGTATAATATCTGTGTTTTAGAGCAACTTTTCAAGCTTGGCTGGAAGCTAATAAGATGACAAAAAATAAAGTAGTTCAAATGGAAGTTTCAGAAAATTCTAACTCTCAAAATTTATAAAAAAAGATTATCATATTTGTAAACATTAAAACATTTTTACTATGAAATAGACAGTACAATCCTATAAATATTTAGTATAATTTTATTTATACTTTCATAAACTTAAATTTTCTCAAGTAAAATTTCATTGATGTATAAAATGATCTTTTGGTAATTATTGTTACAATATTTTTTAATTTGTTATTAAATTATTATTAAAAGGTGTTTTATCTACATTTAATTAAAAATTCTTTTTATGTTGCTGATGATTTGTTATTTGCCGATAAGATGGTTGTTGTATAAAGTTTGGACAGTGTAAACAGAAATCTAAATATATAATTTGAGAATATTTTTCTTTAAAATAGTATAATTTTTATATTTTTGTAAACAATTTTGGTAATAATTCAGTAAATTATTTTAAAAAGATTATTAAAATATGTTCATTTTGATATATAACATTTTTTATGTAAAATAATTTTTGTATAGTTGAAACTTTTTTTATTTTAGTTAATATACTGTGCATTTATGCAAAAAAAAATTATAATTCATTTTAATTATATGACTAAATATTATTCATTTTTAGTGATTTTATGAACCCCGATTTTTAAAATTGATTCAATATTTCAATTTTATAATTGAATATGAATAGTACTGAACTTTCAAATTTTTTATTTTACTCAAATTGAAGCAAAGTTTTTTTTGTTCATTTTGACAAATTAAGCATGTTTGGTTAATTTATTTCAATTTATAAACTGATAAATAGATTAAACACATACATAGAGCTAATGATGATAACATTGTTCTCAAAATACATTTATATGGTTTTTTAGTATTTTTTGGCTTATAGATTTAAATAGTTTTAATGTTTTTTAGTATTAACACAATAATATTCACAAGCAATCTATTTTTAATATATAATAAATCAAATTTGTTTTAAATTATGATTTATAAATAAGTTTTCTTCTACATTATTGGCCTTCTATTGACTTCATACACCAATTCTGCTTTTGAGAAAGACCTCTAAGAGTAGATACTATATGAAAGCATAGAAAAATATTTTAATAAAAGTAATTTTTTTTTTCCATTAAGGAAAAATTTAAAAATTATTTTTGCCATAAATTGAATGGAGTTGTTTGTTTTAAATAAAATTTATTTATTTTTACAGTTCTTTTCTTATTTAAAATGTAGATTTTTAATCCTGATTTGGATTGACTAATTAAATCTGTTAAAACTATTTGCATTTTATGAAATAGATTTAATATGAGTGAATTAATTATAAATATTGAGTACCTAATTAATATTTATTTTGTAATACAAAAAGTTTATTTTATGAATTTATGGATTCAATACATAATCTGGATTGACCAATGAAATCCGTAATTTGGATTGCCACTATTTTTTGAATATTAAATCTCTTGATACTGATCAATTCGGATTTCTTGCTTAGCCCAAAATTACTGAGTTTTGAATAATAAAATGCTTACAAACAGAGTACAATAAAAGAAGACGGATACCCGGCTTATTCCAATATTTTGTATATTTCCATATATATGTATAACCTCAAACTTCCCCTAACAGCGCTATTGCGGACAACATCTGTAAATTTTTCACTTAATAAGTGGAACCCGGCCTTAGAATATATTATCTAAGACTGAGAATGCAACACTGATAAAAATTAAGTTCGCTGACCTTATCTTTTATGGTCTAGTTAAGGGCCATGCGATTTTTAACTACTATCCGATTAAAATTATCAGTTGTTTTGAAAATATTTTCGTAATAATAATAATATGCTATGATTGTTAAGAAATAATTCATGTTAACACTTCAAATTTCAAAAAAAAAAAAAAATTACAATTAAAAATTACCTTTCTATGAAGTAAAAATAAGTGCGAATCTCTCATAGAAAATATGTATACTACACAAAAATTAAAGGTATAAGAATGTATTATTACTATCTTATCGTGTTTCTGCAAATGTCTAAGCTTAAGTTTTTGTTTTTATTTTTTTATAGTGTGTGTTGATTTGTTTAATTAAAACACTTTTATCAAGGAATTACTGTAATAATTTATGAGTGATGATGTCTTTGCCAACATATGATGACTCAAGCTCAGATTCTGGTAAGATACAATTTAAATTATTTTTAATTTTATTCTTTAAATATGTTCTTAACTATCTGTACTTCAGATACTCAAGGGTCTCAAGAAACTTATTTCTGCACTTATTGTCAAGATGAAATATTAAGATTTTCTTGTAGGCCTGAGACTGGTTATGATTCAATAACTATTGTAGTTTGTTGTGCTACTTGCACTGATTTCTATCTTTGTTTGATGGTAATTGAATTTTTTCGACTGCAATATAACTTTTTAATGTTTATTTTATATTTATTAATTTTTATTTTGAATTATATTAATTTTTAGTGTTTTTCAAGTGGAGCTGAAATTGGACTTCACAAAAACTATCATGACTACAAGTTAATTGTCTGTATCTAAATAATAGTTATATTTATTATATTTTATTTATAAAGTATTTAATTTTTAATTTTAGACATTATCTAAACCAAATTTTTATTCTGAAAAACTTTTAAATGCTATTGAAGAATGGGTTTCTGAAGATACCGAAAAATTATTAGGATCTAACAAAAAAGTTGTCACTAGTTGGAAAGATGTTGCTAATGTTATTGGGTCTAAAAACCCAGAAGGTATATTAAACATAATTTCTGTATAGTGCTTTAATATTTTAATCAGGCAATGTTTTATTATTATGTTAAATAAATATTGATTGAAATATTTCTAATACTTCTTTTATGTAGAAGTGAAGAAGGATTACATGAGTTCGTTTATTGATGGACAACTAGGTCAAAAAGTCATTAATTTAGTTAATCAACGGATTGGTCATCCTCAAGTTATAACATTAGATCAGGCTTTAGCAATGGGATGTTTTCAAAATTGCACTCCTTACTATCCCACAAAAAAGGTTTAATTATGTATACATGATAATTTTATATTTTATTGTAGACACTTGTTATTACTTCATTTATTTTTTATACTTAATATAGTATTAAATCATGATAAAATCAAATTAAATTGCATTTTTGATTTGTAAATTTACAATAATTATTTAAAAATGGGTATGGCGGGCAGTTCTAAAAGGAGAACTAGTAGAGCCTATGTTCTGGGTTCTGGGTAACAATTAAATTTTAATAAAAATTATTTTGTAGATATTGAAAATTCCAGCCAATGAAGATGATTTAGAACAATATAAAATAGAAGATGAAAAAGAAGGAACAAAGCCACATTGTAATCAAGTAATATATAATTTTATAGTTATAACTTAGAAAATTATAGAATACATATTAGTTTACAACAACATATTTATATATCTAATACTTTTGTAAATATCTATATATGTATTTAATTGCTGTTTATAAAAATATGTAACTGCTCTAAGTTTAATCATTGCTCCGAGTTGGCCCATTTATTTATATTGTATTTAACATTAATACTAATATAATTTTTAAATAATAATGGTCAAAGAAGTATTTCCAACATTTTTTAGAGACGAGGGAGTCTTAAAGAATAATATGTACTTGAAGAACTATCAGAAACTTACACTATATATAATACAATGTATAATTATTGGTATCTGAAGGGATAAGACCCCTAAAACCATCTCTGATAATTTATATATGAGAGCAAATTTAATTTACTTCATTGTTTAACTTTAGGTATTAGTAATTTAAGAAAAGTACTATTAATATTTTTTTGCTATATATTATAGAGTATGAAACTTGTAAATAGATATCAATGGGATAGTTACCAAGTTCAATTGCTTTTACAATGTACAGCTGAACATGGATATGGCAACTGGGAAGAAATTTCTAAACATTTTAATAGAATAGTTCATGATGAATATAATAGTGGGGAACGTACTTACAGGACAGCTAGAGGTTAAAAATATTTATATATAATTACATCTTAAACGTTTAAGAATGTAAACCAAAATAATTAAAATATAAGGTTTTAGAATTTTAATGATCAACTTAGTGTATTTAAAGCAGTAAAATATTTATAAAATAATAATGATGTTATTTATTTGAATTTTGATGACAAGATATTTTTATTGTTAGTATTGATTTAGTGTATTTAATAAAAAATAAAATTTTAATAACAAAAAGCAAACCTATAGCTTCAAATATTTTAGTTAATAATTATTAATTTTTAGAAATTAAGGAAGAATACTTAAAGAGATTTATCCAGACTCCTTTATTGATTGGAACTTGGTCACCAACTCCAAGTGAAAGACCATCAATACCTGATCGTACAAAGCGTATTGAGGCACCAAAATCTGTTGAAGATATGACTAACAGTACAAATAATATGGTACAAATAAATAATAATGTTATATATTTTTTCACACTTAAAAGTTAATAAATGCTTAATAATTTATAAAAATAGATTTTTGCCAATGAAGAAACACCTTCATTATTTTGCCTTTCTTCGCCTATAGAAGAAGAAAAATCTCCAGAGAACCAAGAAAAAATTGAAGAAGAAAAATCTGATGAACCTAAAAGTAATAATTATAATCAAACAAATTTTTTACAATATAATAAAATGTTTAATATATTTTATGTTTATTAATTTTGGAAGTTGTTATTTTGATTATATTTGGTACATCATTGATTATAAATATTATTATCATAATTTTGAACGAAACTTAGGTTTTAAGAAAATATTTATTAGATTTAAAATATAGAGAATGTAATCTTTTATTATACTAATCTGTTACCTAAAATATTTAGTCATTGATTTAATTTTTGTTTTTGTTTTTTTTTTTTAGTGGAAGTGACTTGTTGCACTTATTGTCAAGAAGAATTTCCAGTTATTGGTTATAAACAAAGTGAAGATAGAACTTCGAATTATATTTTACTATCTATTTATACTTGCTGTACAAACATTGAAACATGTAAAGATTTTTTTATATGTATTATGGTACGTAAAAATTAATTTTATTATTTTTTATTGCCATTGCAATTTGGTGAAAACCTAATCATTGTTATTTTGTTAACTATTCAAAAAAATTTACTTTATATGTGTACATTTTTAGTGTTTAGCAAGTGGCGCAGAGATTGGACAGCACAAAAAAGATCATGGATATAGCTTAGTGTCCAAAGTTAAGGTTTGATAAACAACAACTTATGTTAACATATTGCTTCATTATGTATTTTAAAATAATTTTTGCAGAATTATTGTAATGATGAATTTTTTCCTGAATCTGATTGGACAGTTATAGAAGAGCTTGCTCTATTAAGTGCTCTTGAAGAATGGCATTCAGAGTACACGGATAAGTATTTATTTAAGACAAAACCAGATAAATTGATGATAGATTGGACATCAGTATCTAAACATATTCAATCAAAAAATCCTCTTGGCGAGTCAGAATAATTTTAGTATTTTTCAATGTGTATATTTTTAATTGTTTGAATTAAAATAATTTTCGTATTGATTTACTTTTATGATAATTTTTTTAATAATAGCCTTTTTTTTTGGTTTTGTTAGTTGCATATATATATATTCTGTCAACCAGTATTTCAGAAATTATTAATAATTTAAAGTAATTACTGAAAGTGAAGAGTGGGTGCTGTTATTTTCAATACTAGACATTTCTTTGCGCCACTCACAATATATGAAATAATGGTCCAAAAGTTGTTCGTCTAGCCATTTTTTTAATTACATAATTTTCTTTTTTATAAGCTAGTAATTATGTGTGTTTGTATACAAAAAAATTAATTGACACCTCTATAAGACATAGGGATAAGCATAAAAAATATTTTATCACAGATGATGATGCATATGTAACTAACAAAAACCAAAATAAAAAAAAATTTATTTTTTATGTTTAAAATGATTATTTTAGGAAAATATGAGAGGCTAGCATTAAAAGAATCACTGATTATTATATAATTAAATCTTATGTAAGAGAGTAAATTTAAATGAATTTAGTATTTGGCAAATCTTTTAGGAAAGAAAAATAGATGAGGCCCCTAAAAATTCAATAAATATACATTGATTTAATATACATTTAACCAACAAAAAAAAGACTTTAGTGTTTGTATTATATTTTTAGCCCTCAAAAATATTGTATCAAATTAAATTTATGGTAAATATCTGTTATTTTCCCGAGTATTCTAACGCAATTAATTAAAACTGGTTATTGACTTATAATAAAATAAAATATTTTTAAAATTTAAAACATTAATTTTTTTTTAACAAAAAATAATTATTTAAATTGTTATTTTTAAGCGGGCTATCTTCAGTGCCAGTTCTAAATCTTAAAATAGCCCTAACAATCTTTCATGTTCTAAAAAAAAAAATGACAATAAACATACAAGCTTTATAATAAACATACTATTGGTTCTGTGACCCCCTTTTGTAAGTACAATTCTTAAATGAAATCAGTCAATAAAGTATTACATCTTACTTATGTTGAACCTTACAGACGAAATTTATCATACGTTCTTTTTATTTTTTAAGTATTGTAATAATATTCAAAATAAACAGTTATACAGTATTTCATGTATATTTATGAAATTTACTTCATTAAGTGTATCATATAATTTATCATATATTTTCTTCAATTATTATTAGAATTAAACAGATTGTAACTGAATGAGTGGTAAAATTATTAATTTTTAATATCTCCATCTTTACTTGAAATTACAGAAGCTAAAGCTGAGTTTGAAAATATAATAACAAAAGGACTGGCTTGCAAGTACCTTCAAACATATAACCGCAATGATTCATTAGTATCTTATGAGCAAGCAATACAAATGGACTGTTTTAAAAAACCAAAAAGAGTATATAATAATTAAAATTTATATTTAATTAGTTTTTTTAGAATTTCCCGCCTGTAATAAAATAATAAATCGTTATTAAACAGATTATTACCATAACTGAAGATGGGGTAGCTATGCAAGAAAAGTATACTTGGACAAAAACCCAATTAATAATGTTGTTAGATTACACAGCTATTTATGGTTATGGAAATTGGGAAAAGATTGCTGTGGAATTTAACAAAAATATCAATTATGAACACTATGGAAAAGTTAAAAATTTTATCAAGCGAACTCCTGAAGGTATATTTTTATTTCATTCTTATAATTTATTAATTATATCTTATATACCATTTTAATTATTTAATTTTATCTAGAAATTAAATCTGAGTATGTTTCTAAATTTATTGAGAATCCAATAAGGCGAGGAACTTGGAAATTAAGAAGTAATGCACGTCCTGTCATTGCAGATAGAACACGATTCTTCAAACCCCACATTCAAAGAATGTATCCTAGTATAGACTTGGAGCTTTTTGCAAATTCTACTTATAATCACATTACCGATGAATATCAGCATGTAAGATTGGAAAATAAATTCAAGTATTGGTATTCTTTCTGTGGTAGACGGGTCTGTGGGGTTCCAAAAACATTTATATTGTGCTACTGATTAGATGTACCTAAAATATAGAAAAGGAAAAATGTAAACAAAGAGCATATAAAATCTATTTGTTTTTATCATTTCTTAAGTTAATTTTTTCATTGAGTTCATCATTATACTATTATTATTATTATTATTATTATTATTATTATTTTATTATTATTATTATATATATATATATATATATATACATATTATTTAATTAATTTAAGGTATACTTGGACATGGCTGAAACAATTTTAGATGACTTATGTCCTCAACCAATTAAAAAAACAGTAAGTCTAAAGATTAAAGTAGTTTTCTGAACAAAATATATCTAGCAGATGTATGTTTTTAGATATTAAAGGAAGGTGAAGGAAAGAAAAAAGAAGTTGAAAGAAAGCGAGATAATAATTTTGATGAAGGTTATTTATCAAATTTTATTTTCTTCAGTATTAAATTATACTTAAATAATTATTTCTAAAACAAATATTCTAGATGTGGCATTGGTATGTTTACAAAGATATAACGATGTACTGAAAACTAGGCAAATAGCTAAAGGCCTGGTACATAGTTATAGATTAATGGAGCAGTTTTTAGTTTATAAAGACCGACCAGTTATGCCTAAAATTAAACCATTGTAAGTTGTTCTTAAAAAAAAATATTGGGAATTTAAAAAAATAGTAATAACTTTTTTTAAATTTTTTAGTTTAAAGTATTAAGTTTTAAATATTGTTTATGTAAAATAGGATATTAAATCAATTAATTAAAAGTAAAAATTTTAATTTTTGTAATATTTTTTATTTTAGTGAAGAAAGATTATTTGCTGAACATTTAACTAACTTAGCCTTACTGATGAATGTTAAAACTCATACTTTGCTAATGGTCCGAGAAAAAGATGAAAAACTTTTGATGGCTAGATTTAATGAATTAAGGCTATATAGAGTAATGGGAATTACCAAGTTTTCTGAAGTTGACGTCTTTAACACATTGCGTAAATGTAAAGGATACTTAGTAAGTTTAAATAATTTTTTGTTTTATAGTTATCATTTTTTTAAATTAATTTAATATTGTCATTAAACATTTGAAAATTAAAACATTTATATTAATTAATGTTTCAATATTTTTTAAGAAGTTTTTAATGTTTTAGAAGCAATTCACGCCATTGTACACCAGTGCAGGTTGTATGCCATCAAATAATTATTTAACACCAGCTAAATCAGATGGTCAGGGGTATTGACACAATTAAAAAAATTAATATTTATTGTTATTTTAGTAAAAAGCACTTTTTTTTTTTAATTTTTCTAGCTTAATGAAATACCTTCAATTTGTTCGAACAGACTATGGTACCTCTCAATTAAGAGGAAAATATCCTTTACGCTATTTAGCCAATGATATGTGTGAAGAATTACTAACTATCACCGAAAAAATGGTATGGATCTTTGATATTAATTAAAAGTTTATAAAATATACATTTAAATTTTTATTCTAAGAATATTGTTAACAGTTACTTAATTGATACATTACTTTTTTTACATCATAGACTATATTAGAGCCTTATGAATTTTTTCAGTTATGTTTAAAGTATAATTTGTATCCTAATGATTACTTAAAAAGGAAACGAAAAATTCTTAATGTAAGTATTTTACATATAGTTTATATGAATAAAAAAATTAATTTAATAAAGAAAAATAATAATGGGGTAACGACACCAGTATTTGGAAATTTTTATGTTTGATATATTGTAGTCTTTTATTTTTTTTTAAATTTTTAATAGGCTTTTATTTCTTTATTAGGTCTTATATTTGATTAAAACACCAAAATATTAATAAAAATTTAATAAATTATTTATTAGACTGCTTCTATTACCCTACTTTTTAAAGAAAATTACAAAAATTAAATTTTACAACTACTGAAATAACATTTACATATTAATTACAATTCAGTAAAATTGATTGTGTTATAGATACTTATTTTAAATGTTTAGTATAGTTTCATTTGTATTGATGTATACAGAGGGAATCATGAAGATATAACATATCTAATAACTTTTAATTATAATTAACATTTTATGTTGCTTTTTTTTTAATAATTGTTAGATTATTGGATTTAATTTTATACATTATATAAGTATTTTATGTTACTTTTCTAAAATAATATTAATAATCTACAATTTTAACATTTAATTCATAATATTTAGATTTTCATTTAAAAAAATTAATAAAGTTATGTAAAATGTTCAAAAAAATTTTAAAATAGTCATTTTATTTAATTAAATCTTAAAAAAATAATTGAACACCAAAATCTCTAAATAATGTTTTGAAATGAAATTTCTAGAACATTTCAAAGTTGGTAAAAATTTCAATTTTTTCATGTATTTTTTACAGTATCAAACGATTGTCATGTTAAAAAAAAGAATAGAAGTATTAGTGCAATAAATTTCATACTAAATATTAGTTGTAGGCATATAATTTTTTTCATCATCACTTGAATAAGCAACAACAATTTTACTGAAAAAAATTGTTAACTGAATTAAAATTAGTTATATAACATCATTTTTATGGTAGCTTAATACTTTATGTTATTGAATTCAAAATGTATAAATATTGAAATTTAAAAAAAGTTATCAGTCACTTGATAAATTATTGTGAAAAAAGTTTATATTTTACATAGTAATATTTTTTAAGAAATGTAATTCATTTGTAAAATTCAACTTCTTGTACAGTGTCCGTACTTAAAATAATTGTAAGATTTGGGTAGTTACAAACAGTGATTATTTTATACCTAACAATTTTTATTGATGCATTTACAAAAAAAGATACTAAACTACAATGTTAACTTATGATAAGTTAGACACTCCGTTCATAATACTATTATCAATTTTTTTTTACTTCAGTTAAAAGAGTTTCATCAACCAACAATAATTTTTATTGAAAAAAATTCTATGCCTACAACCAATGTAAAATTGTATTACATATTCTTCTATTCTTTTATTTTTTAATATGATTGTCATTTAATTCAGCAAATATAAATGAAAAAATTGAAATTTTTACCAAATTTGAAATGCTCTAGAAATTTAATTTCAAAACATTATTTAGAGATTTTGGTGTCCAATTATTTTTTAAGATTTATTTAAATAAAATGGCTATTATGAAATTTTTTTGACACAATTTACATAACTTCATTCATTTTTCAAAATTAAAATCAAAATATTATGAATTAAATGTTAAAATTGTAGACTAAATATCTAACAATTATTAAAAAAAAAAAATTAACGTAAAATACTCATTAGATCAATGTTAATGAATTTGTCATAAATTGTAACTAACCTATATATATATATATATGATTTATTTTATATTTAGTATGGTCTTGGAGAAGATCGTTCTAAAGTTGATCATGTGATTTACAAATATCTAGTTAAAATTAATAAAATTGATTTGAGACAATCAGCTTCTATGATAGTATAATTAACATTTCTGGACTAATGGACAACTAATTTATTAAGGTAAATTACAAAATAAATTGTATTAATTATTATTGTTATTTTATTAATTTTTTTTACCTTATTTGCATAATTTTTAATTAATGTACACTAGTGAAGTCAATTATTACGACAATGTACAAGTAGTATTTTATACTTAAAATTAGTGATTAAATGTATTAAAATTACATTGTGAGTTTTTTTTTTAATTCTTTCCATAAAGATTCAAAATTATTTCTGATGTAGTTAAGAAGTCATTTTTTTAAATGTATTTACATTCATTTACTTTCAAGTATTTACAAATTGGTCAATCATAGACATATATATGTATATAGAACAATTTAATTTAAAGTTTTTTTGTTAATTTTTGTTTTTATCCTAATAAAAATTCATTTAATCTTTTAGCTATTTTATAGATGTACTATTTGAGATGTTATATCTATTAATAGATAATAGACTATTGGATACTTATATTTTATTTGTTCACAATGATATTTTCAAAATGGACTAAAAAATATTGATTTGTATAAATATTAATTTAAATACATTTTTTTTATTAGTTCATATAAAAGAAAGTGTTCATGTAATTGAATTATTTTTAGACCAAGTGATTTTTTTATAAGACTGTTTTATTACTATAAGAGGAAAAAATATGTGATAATAACCTTTAAAACAAATAAATTGCAGTTATTAATTTATTAAACAATTTTAGTAATTTAATTATTTAGGTTTATTCTTGTTAAGAAGATTTATTGATTAATAATAAAACCTATGTAGAATATTATTTATATTATGTTTATATAATGAAGTATATTGAATTTAGCTTAAATAAATGTAAAATTATTTTTTTTTTTAATTTTCTAAATAAAAACACTTACTCTCAGATTTTTTAAAAATTGTGTAAATACTAAGGTACATATTTTTAATTTGATTTTAAAAATAAATTTTTACTTCAAAATTTGTTTAATTTTCTATTGAAATATTAGTTATACATCATAACAATTATGTAGTATTTTCACTTCAAAAAATAAAATTTAAAAATATAGTTTTATTATTAAACAATAATTTTATCTATTGTAATGTTTTTGAAGGACTATTATTGACCATTAAATTGGCTTGTTTGTTTAACAATTTTATCTTTTCTGCACATAATGAGCCTCTTAAAGCATATTGTACACACCACTTTCGCCTACGCTTCATGTTTTTTTCCAACGTAGATGGAGACTGACGGTTTTGGTCTTGCAATGCTAAAAACTTAGCTTTGAGTTGTTCTAAAAATCCTGGTGGTGGAAATTCCGAATTCCTGTCTATTTGTGACTTACTAAACATACACCACGGATGAATTACAACTAACACATTAGTTGATTCTTTATCACTCTGCTTTAGTGGACTTAAATTCACTGATAACTCACAGCCACTTGTTGATGCATTGTAACTATTTTTGTCAGATTTCATGTTCTTAATTATCTGGCTTCCTGTTAATATATTTTGTGACATTTCAGTAGTTTGATATTCTCTACCCTTGAGATTATCATCTTTTTCAAAAATCAATTGTTCTTTAGTCAATGCTAAAATAAATAAGATGACTTTTAACATTAAATATCTTTTTTTTTAACGGATAAACAATGAGATATCTAAGATCATAACAAAATGTTATTGCACATAACTCTAAATAAAAAAATGCTTAGTAATCTTAACGTTTACTGTTTTTGTTCGTTTGTCTACTAATTGCCTCTATAACACAAACAAAGCTTTTCAGAGAAGACGTTAATGATAAACATAATAATAGAATAAATGTAATAACGATAATTCATTTTAGCAAAATTTTATTTTATTGACTCAATATTTTTTAATAAAAGTTAATGTATCTATTATAATATATAAAATAGACCATGATACTCAATTATATAATTATTACACACTATTCAGAGACTCAGATCCTTAAGTTCCACTAGGGTCCCACCTCCAAAAGTAATTAGTCTTTTGAATTAAATGGCTTGGTTTGCGAACATCAACCATTATAAGTAATAAATAAATTAATGATTATGTACATAAATCTATATATATTTGAAGACTTTCTAATCTATTTGAGTTGAAAAAATATACTTACTAAAATGTTATAACCGTTATATTATTTAATCTATTTAATTTCTATTAAATAGAATTTTTCATAATAGTTTTCAAAAATTTATTAGACAAAATATACAAATCCTACCGGTTCATTATAGATCGACCAATTGCAATAAAATAAAATACTGTTATTATTTGTTTAAAAATGTTATATTCGAATATGTTAACTATTTATACATACTGAAATAAAAAAGGTAAACTAAACTAAAATTGTATTTATTTATTAAAAAATAACGCCTTTTGAGATAAAAAATGTAGATATTAACAAAATACTTATATTTAGTATTTTATTTACTAGAACATAAAAATTATTTTTTCTTATTCATTACAATATTATGATAAATATTTTCCTGTGACGGTACTAGTAATTTATAATAAGTGATGGGTAATTAAATTATGTTCTATGTCTGGAATACAATTTATTGCTATAACAATATTAAAATACTCATTTCTATAAAAAGACTGTACATTTATTAAATAATTTTTAGCTTCGATGTGAAGCTGAGAAGGTATTAATTTTACACTGTGTTTTTTTATGTCTTTTACCACTTTTTCTCAGCTCTCACCGCACCGATTTCTTTCAATGATACGTCAAAAGATCACAAATCGTATCTAGTCGAAAAAATTACTCTCCAAAATTGAAAAAAATTTTCTAGTAGGGAAATTTTTCAAAAAAATTACAAATTTAAAAATAGGTAATTTTCAACAATTTTTCAATTTTTTTTTATCGATACATTAGATATACACCTATTATTTGGTATATTCTTTTTGTAAATCTGATTCTTCATCGCCCACAGTAAAGAAATCAAAATTATAACTTTTTCACAAAAAATTAACCTTTGAAAGCTTTCCGGAAATACTGACACTATTTTATATATTTTTATTAAAGCTTATATAATAAACTTTAATATTCAAATATAAGTTGGAACTCTAGATTGTCTTCATGATGAAAATGACTACTGTATTCAAATTATGCTATTTTTACAATTATTACTTTTTGATTGGATTTTCTAGTTAAAGTAAATTATTAAAATTCTGAATATTTTAATTGTATAATCTTTTTAGGCATCCATAGTTATATATAAATGATATACTATGATTTCTATTTAAGTTATCTATTACGATAAAAACGCAAAAAAAAAATTGAGTTTTACTGATAAATTTATTATTTTTTATTTTTATACATGTTTGTCATAAAAGTAATAAAATATACTACTTTATTATTTTTTATTATTTCTCCATAAAAATTACAATATTAAATTATGAAATATTAATTGCATACTAAATTTAATTAATTTATAAATTAAACTTTTAAATAAAAAACCACTAATCAGGATATAATTAAGGAAATAGGAGTTGATGTTGTTTTTTATAATTATCCACCAATTTCATAAAATTAAACACTACACATTTGCATCGAAACGTTTCTCATGACAGAGATTTTGATCACTGTCAGATTAATCTATACTGAACCCAACTTTCCCACGTCCATAATGTGCCCCGACACCACTGTGCTATAATTTTTTTGAATTCGAAGTAGATATTTTTTTTTAATTAAGTAAGTAAGAATGACTAAAATATTCTTTTATTAGGTAAAATGAATCGACATATTTCTAAAGAAAGACTTTAATTATTTACGTTTATGTTATTACAATCATTTTTTAATAAATAAAATTTTGAAAAAAACATTTTTTTAAGCAGTTTTAGAATTTAATTTTTTTTTTCAAATTTAATGTTCTATTTTACTCGTTTGATTTTATTTTTAAAAAATGTTACTTCATTTGTTAATTTTTTGGATTTAGTGCATTTATTTTTTACACTGATTACGAATATGCAAATGTTTAACATAGGTCAAAAATAGTTAAAAAGTTATAAAACTTCAAAGATTGTTTATAACACTGTACACGCGAGTATGGGCCAATAACATTATTTTACGTTTTACGTAAAAAAAATTGAAAAAATTTCGAAAATTAGCGATTTTTATATTTGTAATTTTTTTGGAGGTTTCCCCCGTTTACGGGGAACATTTACATCATAGTAAAATTAATACCGTCTCGCTTCGCATCGAAGCTAAAAATATGTATGTACCTATAAAATAGATGCACCTATGTAAAATTAAAACTATATCAAAAATATTAATTTAGAATCATAAAATATTTAAATGAAATAGTGACAAAAATTATTATTTTTAAAATATATAGTATATAATATATATTATATATATTATATACTATAATAACTTTGAAAAAAAAATGTGTAAAATATAAGTATATTTTTTTTAGCTTCGATGCGAAGCTGAGAAGGTATTGGTTTTACTAGGATGTGTTTTTTTTTTGTGTCTGTTAGCACTTATTCTTAGCTCTCACCGAACCGATTTCTTTCAATGATACGTCAAAAGATCACAATCGTATCTAGTCGAAGACATTACCCTCAAAAATTGAAAAAAAATCCCTCGTTCTCCGTAAATGGGGGAAACCTCCAAAAAAATTACAAATTTAAAAATCGCTAATTTTCGAAATTTCTTCAATTTTTTTTACTTAAAATTGCCATAACTTTTTTAAAATTGACCGAATCAATATAATTTTTTTATATAGATGCATGATATCATTACCTTTCATTTGGTATATTTTTTTTTATATGTAACCCTTTACTTGCCCACAGGGGGGGATTTAAAATGACAACTTTTTCACAAAAAATTAATTCTTTCAACTTAACTTTTGAAAGTGTTCCAGAAGGTCTGACACTTTTATATATATCTTAAATTAAAGCTAATGTAATATACTTTATCATGAAAAAAAAAAATTTCCGACTTTATTTTATTTTTATGGTGAAAGCCATTTTCAAATGCTATTTTTGTGTGAAAATTCTCGATTTTATTTTTTACATTTTTAACTTTATAATGCTATAACATATTGAAAAGTGTATGGATCAACATTATTTTTTTATGAGAAATAATATTTTTTAATAATCCCTTTTTCATTCGACATACTTTGTCGAATATTCTTGTTGTTAATATAACTAAAGAATGTAAAACAAAATTATTTATAGGTAATTGATATAAATTAAGAGAACATAAACATACTTACATTCCGTTTTTCAATTTTGTGAATCTTAACTTATATTTACATGACAATTAAATCTTAAAGTTTTAGTTTTGTATAGAAAACTAATAAATTCTTCCTAATTTACAGTTCATCCTGGTAAAAGTTATGACTTCAGCTACCATGGCCATTAGTTAAACTTTATTAATTTTCAATATAATATTTATTGTCAAAAGAAACTTAAAAGAAATGTGACAGCAGTTAAACTTGGTTATTTTTAAGAAAAATCGTACAAAAATGCGTGAAACTTATTTTAATCTTGTTGGTAAATCCCTAAGTATCAACTTATTTAGTTTAAATTTCGTCAAGCTTCTTTTTATGTCAATCTAATTTTTTTAAATTTTTAGAAAAAATGTTTTTTGTAAATATCCTAATGTATATACTATTTATTATATCAATAGAAACAGGGACGTATTCAGAAATTCATAATTTCAATTAACAAGTTACTATAAAATTTTTTTACTCATGATGAACTGATTATGAGCAAAAAACGTCTCAACATTTTATATTAGCATGGCATAGTCAATGTGGGAGGGAGCACTTGCCCCTGTGCTTTTCTTTAAATACATTACTAAACATAATTTGATTTTGACTTACGTTTTTGTAAAGAAGTAGATTCTTCCGATTCAAACATTGAAATAAGCTCAATAATCTTCAGAGACGTTGCTGACGTTTTATCCATGTTGTATATATTTCCTATGCCTTCATGGTTTAACCTTGTAAATTTTTTACATGCTTCATTTTTTGATCTCGTCAAATATTGAACATTTCCAGCCATGATTCTTTTTATTGCGATTTTAATTCAATTGCTTCTTGTCGATCTAATGAATAAATGGTACTTTAGATTTTCTACATTTCGTATTTAACATGAACAATTGTAGGCGTAATTTGCACTAATATTTCATTAAAATAACAAATTTCATGACGGCTTATTATTGTACTCATTATTTTATAAACATTTAATTTTTTTATACTTCCATTAACAATTGTAGAAAAAACACTGTATCCGTTATTGAATAATAACTTTTAAATTCTATAAATAGTTTATTACTATATTACAAACAACTATTATGCCATTCAAATGAATAAAAATCGTTCACATTTTTCATAGTCAATAACATAAACACTGAATAATAATGGTATTTTTAGTAAAAAAAAAAATACTTGGCATTATAATATAATGTAGGAGGGTAAAGTAAAGTAGTGATACCTACACTAGAGATATGTTAATTTACCAACTGAATTTCGGTTAGTTGACATAATTAATAAAAGTTTTGAATAGATACATATTCTAGGTAATACAATTTATTTTTTAATTATATTTAATGAATTTTGTCTAGTTTTTATTACAGTTCAAACATCATTGCAGAAAGTAAGGTAAATTTGTGGTAAGGTATTTAAATCCGAATTGTTTAATTTAGACTTACAATACTAAAAGTATATAATTCTAAAAAGAAGACCATTCACTCAGGCATATTATATTTATGAAGTACATTAAATGTTCATAAAAAAGGCCAATTAAATTTATTGTATACATTTAAACATCTTATGGTTTTAGATGAGTGAAGTGGTCGTAAAAGAATTATGCACTAAACGAGTTCAGTCTAGAAAATAACTAAGAAAAATAATGAAGATTCCTTTTTACCAAACAAATAGAATATAAACATTGTAACCATGACATTTTTGTTTAGTTAATAGCTATTATAAAGTTCTGTTAAAAAATTATAGGATGTAAATTTTTCGAAAAAAATTGTTTTCCCAAATAACATAATGTTTAAACTATTTATCATATTAATGGCGTATATATTATTATATTAATAATGGCAGGGGCATAAATAAAATTTTTAATTGAAAAGTTACCATAAATATTTTTAGCTGATTATGAGCAAAAAAGGTCAACAGACTTTTTATATCTTGTATAATGAGAGGGCACGTGTCCTGTGACCCCCTCTAAATACATCATTGTTAATTTAAAAAAGTGAATGAAGAATGTAATAATGATAGTTCAGCGTGCAAAATTTTTAACCGTATGATAGTTCATCAAAGTATGTATATATAAATCATAATTTATAATTTATACACATCCGTTGTAAGTTAAGCAATAGATAACAAGCGTCCGCGACACGCCGTTCAATGATAAACAGTTTCCTGAATTAAACCGGACTTTCGATGCTTATTTTAAAAATTGTCTAAAATTAACTAAATGAAAATTACGATGTGTTGATCTATCCATTAATAAGCATGACTTTCATAATAAGACGATTCCATTTCAGTTTATTTAAATAAAGGTACTTCTCACTGTTGTGATTTATGTTCGTCTTTTATAAAATTTCATGTTAGAATTATTGTATGCAATTAGAAATGTAGTACAATTAGGTGATTTGAACCAATTATTGTTACTTGATTGATAAGCGCTCAGCGTTAAAAAAAAAATAATTTCATGTTGTAACTATACTACGAAACTAAATCGCAAAACACTTAATTTTTTTTCAAAATCTAACACCCTAAGGTAAATAATTTATAACAGTCAATCCATCAATACAATGTATAGCTATAGTTTTTATTTTTTTCTCTTTTACTTGAAAATTACATACACTCTCGTTATGATATTTGCTAGTTTGATAAATAATACCTTTGTGATTTAATTTACTAACAGAAAGACATGTCTTATTTTTGACATTAATCAAGACAGTCATCTTTCTGAGATTTCTAAAGAGCTTAAAATGTCATTGCGGTATTTAAACGTTTTACTGAAGACTATAAAGTTCAGTAATATGACAGAAAGTGTAATCAATCACCGTAAAAACTAAAAAAAATGTGTATAATTTACTGGTATGTTTGCGTAAAACTAATAAATTGAGAAAGTACACATTATTTTCTTTAATTTTTAAAAACATAAATTATTTCTAAAAATTTTAAATAAGAAACACCGATGATTTATAGTATAGTATATTTATACGCTATTCTATAATAATGTACAATTGCAGATCTAGAGGGTTCACAAGCCATTATACATTAAATCTCTTATTATCCCACTCTGAGGGTGATTGTTTAATTACACCCTATGAATTATTTACAAAATTATTAGAGCAATTCATTATTTTATTTTTTTCAACAATAATAGATCTTTGTTGAGCTGCTTTATATGAAAAAATAATTTTTACTATCATTTTTTATACTCAAACTCATATTAATTTTAGACCTTAAAATAGAAATACTGATTATTTTTATATCATTAAATTTTCAATTGAATAATTTTGATGGTATAAAAACAAATATTCAAATATTACAACAAGATATTTTGTCAGATGTAGTTAAGGAATTACTTTATATTTAAAAATAATACCTTAAAATTATTTAAATCTGTACATTTATACAATAATTTTCCTATACGTCAATTAACGAGTATTAAAAATTTTTAGTAGTTGTATAAGTGGTTAAATAATTTAACTAAACTGAATAGAAATAAATTGCACAATCAAATATATCAATCTTATAACAATAATTTCATTTTGTAAGTCCGTTATTTGCATGACGCTATTTTAGATTAATTAATTAAATTGTTTTATTATACATTGGTTATATTATTAAAGCTACAAAAGTAATTAATGACCATTGATTGTATAAAAGTTTCATGTTTTATTATATTTCATAGTAAAGTTTTTTAGAATTAAAAATATTTGACATTGTATACCAAAATTGTAAATGTTGATTTGTCTTAGCTCATATAAAGTTTTAGAGAACTGTACATCATTCAACTGAAGTATTCAGAATTAAACAAATGTATTATTTTTCCTTCAAAAATTATAAATTGCATTATTAATAACTGTAGTTTTGGAGAATATTTTGAGAAGTTCTGACTCGATAACGTTTTTTGTCCATCATTTTTTAATTTGAAAAATGGATGCCTAACTAAAAAAAATCTCTAGATCAATTATGTTATCATTCAATTGTAATCACAAGGATGCAGTAGAAATGATGGTTGTAAAAGTATCATGATTGCCTGTATCAATCTTACAAGGGGTGTGACATACCCTAACGTTTATCAACTTCATAAGTTGTCTGAAATTAAAATTCATGTAGGCGTTTCTTATTACATTTTATACCTTTAATAATAATTATAAATTTAACAGTAACTAAAATTTTTTTAAATTTTATAACTCAAAACGCAAGTAAAATAAAATATAAAAAGAAATAACCAACAATTTTATTTAATTATTTTAAATTATCAGCTGCGTAAGTGGCATTGGGTCGTGGCTATTCTATTTATTTTGAGAAAAAGTTATAATTTTTGTAAGTCTTTATTTGAACTTATCATAAAATATTAAGCTTGGTTAGAGAATGTAAAAACGCTGACCGACCCAGATTAATTAAAAAATTAATAAAATTACGTATTAAATTTTTTCCTAATAGAATTTTTGTAGTGTACCGACCACGTTTTGAATTATATTACAATTTTAAATCGTTTGGCTATTTCAAAACTGTATTTTTTCATTGATAATTAGTAAATAATATATTTTTTTCCAAAAGTGTCTCAATATATTTATTATCTATATTAAATAGTTTATTGTTGATACTCATTGATTGGTGAATGTTATGTGATATTTGTTTTAAGGCAAGGTATGCATTTTAGCATAAGTTAAAAGCTGAAATACATTAAAAAGTCTATTGGCATTTTGGATGATAACTTATTTGCATATGTCTAGCGTGTAAGCACTACATAAATTATTTATTTTACGAAAACTTACAGATTTACAAATGATATGAAAAACAGGCTAACGGAACACGGAGGCGTTAAAATTATTTCCGCTAGTATATCTATTCCTTGTTGATAACACATTTCATTGAACTGAACCATTTTTGATTTCATCTTCCCCTCTTATAATATTCATTCTAAAATTTACGCCACATGCTGTAATTGTAACTTTTCGTTATTTAATGATTATTAAAAGAATACATTCATATATCAACTAGTTTGTTAATGAATAAAATTACAGATATGTTGTAAAATTGTATTCAATCACTACTTAGTATAGACATATTATTACAACATTTCACTTTAGCACTTAGTTGTCGTATGAAAAATCTAAAAATATTAATATTTAAATTGGCTTTCCTTCTTATAGAACTATGTCGTAAATTGACTTGGCTATTACAAGTTGTCAGTGATTTACTTACTTCTTTTATGGGAAACAGTAACTGCGATTTAAGTTCATTTCGGATGACCAAATTTAGATAGTTTTAAAATTGGTATTTAAAATGGTGTATTTATGGACTATATTTGTATAAAATTGTATTCAATGACTGTGATTTATGATTATATATACTAAAAACACGTAACACATAATTTACGTTGATATTAAAAAATTTGTTGATTCTTAAAAATGGTTAATTTTATTTAGATTGTAAATTTTAGTTGTTATTTATATCATTTTTATTAGGATTATTAGATAAATATTAATAATTTCAAGATAGGTACCCGTTTCTATTATTAATTGTTAATGTAATTTTTTTTTTTTTGTAGTGGTGAATAGTTTTGAAGGGACTGAGAGCTTCCAAACATTTTGTTAAAATTACTCGAATGTTTTTTTTAGTAATATATGTGTGCCTAGTTTTAAAGTGGTTATATTGTTTATTATTATACATGCGTACAATATAATAATTAATCAACAATCCTCGTACAGTTCTGATTAAAATATCGATAGTTAGATAGTTATAATTGGAATGGTTCATGAATAATTATTAAGATTAAAATAGAGCGAACGTTTCAGAGAAAGTTTTTATCCTCGTACAGGAGTTGAATAGTAGTATCATAAATTATTATGTTAAACGATTATTTAATAAACAATAATAAAATGAGACAACTCACAATCTTAGTGAAGATTTATCATTAATAAATTTAATTTGATATTTTATTTTACACGTGCTGTCACTTCAGTCGATTTTTATACTCTTGTTTCTTAAATTTTCATCAATTTGTGGTCACTAATATACATATATTTTTGAAGACGCATAAATTACTTATGGGACACCATCACATTATTTTTTGTAGCAAATTGATATTTACTTGATTTATAGGACTGAAAAACAAGGCCAATTGCTAGTTCTTTTAAAGCACACGTGTTACATAAATTTGCAACAATCTTTAAGCATTATAAGGTCATTTTTTATTTATATCAGATGTTTCAAAATCATCCCAAGTATACTATATTTAGAAATTCGTTGAATAAAATGTTTAGCTGATTACAAATTTTACTACTAATTTAATCCAGTAACTTAGCGAGGAGGGCATAATAAATAATCTACAAAATTCCATATTTGGATCTCTTTTTTTTTTTTTTTTGATCATCATTTCGTTTTAAAGATAAATATTGCTAACAATGGGGAGTACTTTGTTCACTTTGCTATATTACTGATTTGATCAACTCTAGATTTTGATATTTATAATTGCTAATTTTTAAATAATGAGTAATATGTGTTACAAAATACTAAAAAAAAAACTTTATTTCAATATTTTTAAACATTTAGTAGTTTTGATATAAATATTAATTAATTGTAGTAAAGACGACGTATTTTGTTACTTTTTTCAAATACATCCTCACAAAGACGTATATTTATATATATTATTGTTATAGGCCAATCGCGGATCCAAAAAATATATTTTTGCGGAGAAAGAAATTTTACTATTTCTGTAAAAGGCAGAGTTATAATTTTAAATAGAAAAAAATAATTTTTTTTTTTGAATTAATATTAATTTTTTGTGATTGAGAGTTGCTCCTATATCTCTCTTTGTATCTACGCCTGCTGCAGGAATATTTAAATTACTTCCTTTAATACTTAAAATATCAATTTAAATTAAATTAATATAAATATGATAATTGTTGCCCTGACTCAGCAGGCTAGAGTGTAATTCCGGTGCCTCGGATTAAATTGGAGTTTTTTTTTTTTATCTTAATGTGTAAAGTCTCTAAGGAGATTTGCCTTCGTAGCCTATAAGTTCCCAGGCCAACACTGAATATGATAAGTATCATCATGTTAACACACAATAACTGCCCTATGATATCGATAAAAAATTTGCTGGTGTCAACGACATATAAATACGACACTGTGTTCAGCTAAAAAATCTTACCTATATTATACACTCTAAATATATAATCTGTGTGGTCATATAATTTATCAATGACCTAACAACTAATCATAAAACAAATTAATCTTTCTAATATTATTCGTATTGATCCCTTTTAGTTTTATTTTTTCTTCAAATGCACTTCGTGATGTATGTGAACTTGTTTTATAAAAAAACGTGGTAGTTGTTCTTTAGAAATACGCCATAGCAAATAATTTTAAATTTAGAACATTTTTTTGTGTTAATACTGTTGTCCATAGAGCATTAGTATTTGAGGCAAACTTATTTTCATTGGTTACAATACATTATAATACATTATGTTTAACAGTTCAAATAATAGTTTCGCTTTTTAATTTATGCGTATTATATTCTTTTAATATCCTTCAATTATGTTAAAAACTTAAAATAAAAAGATTTAGATGACGTTTTGATTGTTAGATGATGATGATTGCTGATCAATGCATAGATTTATTGCTAACTTAATAGAAAACTATCGACCCTAAAAGAATGTTGTCTAATATTTTTTGTTTACATTTAATTTCCGTCTCATCTTCCGAAATTTAATACCATTCTGGAGTGCCACTCATACCAGATATATTGTGTCTAAGATGATAATTAGTTTTTTTTTTTTTAAGGATGGATTTTTTAAATTAATCACTGAAAATGACGTGTTTAAATTATATTCATTGAAATAATTTTATTTTCTTAAAAACAGTGTGATATTTTAAAAATATTTTTAATGTGAGAATATGCAACAATATTTTTTATTACTTACGTTTAAAGCATATTGTAATTCTGAGAACCTCCGTCCTCTTTTGACATAATAAACTTAACAGACTAATGTTTTTGTAACAGCTAATAGTTTTTTTTCGTAACTCATACTACTGGACATTTTTAAATAATTCAAACCTATTTCTACTAAGTACAGTAAAAAAATAATAAAATAATAATTTAAATAATGTACTATATTTTATAAGTTTTTTTTACATTTTCGTGTACTTTAAACCATAAAAATACTATCTTAAAAATCGTGTAAAAAATGCAAAAATATAATTTTTTTAAATAACCCATTTGTTAACTAATAGAATATAAATTGTTTTGTATAATAACACTTTTTAAAATTATGTATTTCTTTCAGTACATGAAATCAACAACCAAAAAAGTTTTTACACAAAATGATTTTCTTTGTTAATTATTTACCTCATACTTAATAGAAAACATATATAGAAAGCAGAAAACTAGAATATACCTGAAAGGTTTCTAGAAAACATAAAAATTTTAGTAATATTTTTGGCTCTTGGCTAATAGTATATTTAGTATACTAAATATGACTGTTTAATAATATAAATATTTAATCGAAGTCATATTATTAGTCATTTTAATTATAGTTTTTCTTACCAGCAAAATATATGAACCATTGTAATTATTAATACACAGAAAAAATAAAAAAATATATTTTATAATTGAGTTAGCGTCAAAATAACTTTATTGTTAGAAGAACTAACTCAATATACTTGGCCCAACTATAATATCTAGTTGGAATTCATAATAAATCTAGTTAACTGTTTTTTGTAGTTTATTCAACTATGTGAGGTGGTTCTTCCGTAACTTTTAAAATTATGTTTTCGCTATATTAACTCTAATTGGCCCAACTATACACAGGTGTCCCACGAAGTTTTGACAAATCCTTATAGTTTTAAGTAAAATTAAAACTATATTAAAAATATTATTAATTTAAAAAACTAAAAAATATTAAACTCAAAGCCACAAAAAAATTAATGAAAAGTCGCGGATACGTATTTCGGAAACAATGTTACCATTATCAACGCTAAACACATACTCAATCTTTTCATTAATTAATCAGACTTTTCATTAATTTTTTTGTGGCTTTGAGTTTAATATTTTTAATATTTTTTAGTTTTTAAATTAATAATATTTTTAATATAGTTTTAATTTTACTTAATATACCTTATAGTTTTTTATGGCGATTTATCAGAATATCTTGGGATACATGTGTATAGTTTTTTCCGTATGTTACCACTAATATATTACACTTATAACTATTGAATACTTAGAACAAGTTTTTTGGGGGATAGGTTCTATTTTAGACATTTTTAGTGCAATAAAATTTTTATTAAGGCCACTAACTATTACTTGATGAAAAGGTGCCTAAAATTAAAAACAATAATACAATTCATGTAAATTTGTTATTATCTTTTAAAAATTCTTATTGTTGTAGTAATATAATTGACTTTTTTAAATGTATTATATACAGCTTCTTGATATTTACTCTGCTCTGAAATTTCAACATACGGGCTGTGGTCAGATTTATTCCTGGTCTATGTATTTTTATGGAATACTTCATCTTTGACATCTTTCCTAGATCATAAGTGTACCGATAACACCTCTCCTTTCAAAACACAACCGCCGGGGTTTCCGATTTAATTAATGCGTCCACGACTGGTACAGTACTCTATCCATTGGCTACAAGACGGTCAATACCTTAACATACACATATATATGTGTTTGTATGTATCTATGAAAAATATTAAAATATATTTAATACGAGACTACCGCCTGGGTACANATTAAAATATATTTAATACGAGACTACCGCCTGCATCGGTGCGGGTCGAAGAGGCGGTAGCGGTGTGGGTCTCATATCTCTGTGTCTTTCTCTCTCAACCATTGGATTTTTATTATCTCTCTTTTGGTCCGATCCTCTGACTGCACCGGCTAGTACCCACCGTAGTATCATCGCCGATGTCCGCCGGGGGGGTCCCCGTCAGTAAAAATCATTCAGTCGCCTTTTTGCCGCCACTAGTTAGTGACTACCCAACAGTGGTGAAACACGGTTTGCGCGCGCACGTGTAAATGTTGACTAATTTATATTATAGATAGCAATTTAATTAAATACATATGTAGAATACAATAGAATATCAAAGTGTGTATATGTGTTGAAATTATTATTTTTAATTTGACGCGCATCCCAAATGGACGTCCTCGGGCTTAAAAAGTAAGTATTTTTTGAGTTTATAATCAAAATTTTAGCTGATATTTCCTATCGAAATCGATATTTTTTTAATGAAGAGTATTGTGACGTTTTATGCGAGAATTTTTCCGTAACATNCGATATTTTTTTAATGAAGAGTATTGTGACGTTTTATGCGAGAATTTTTCCGTAACATAATTAATTTGAATTCTCGTTAATTTTTTTTAATTATTTAATTCGTAATAATAATAAAAATATTTCATAAAATGTTACGATTTTCATAAAAAAAAAAAAATGTGTTATGATCTTTTAGTTTTTTTAATTGGGCTAGATGGTGAAGATGTAGGAATAAATAATCAGACATAGGAATATTTTCGCCAAACTGCCCTTAAAAATTGATCGATATTAGTAAAACTAATAGCCTTTTAGACTTAAGTATACTTGAAAAACTACCAATTTTAAAATAAATTTTCATACTTAAATGTTATGAAAACCAAATAAAACCAAATAAAATATAATATATATATATATATATATATATCCTATTCTCCATAGTAAAACGCATTACTTCATATTTCAAGATTTTTTTTTCGAAAAATACATAAAAAATGATCATACATTTTATGCATTTTTGGAATAAAAAATGTTAATTTTTCTTAGAATAATAATGTTTTAAAAACCTATTTCTATTGTTAGCTATAAAAAAAAAACTTTTATTTTATTTTTCCTAAATAATTTTGAAAAACCTTTTATTGAAAATAATTACACGCATAAATAATTTAACTTTCATTTAAATATTTTTGTATAAATTTTCGTTTTTTCATTAAATTATTTAATTAAAAGTGTAACATATATTATGCTATAGACAAACATAACGTGTTAGACCAAATAATTCAAAATCATAAATAGGAACGTAGATTTTATTTACAATGTGTTTAGGGTTCATATAAAAAAATTTTCTGGACCTTCTTCTCTAGATTTACTCTTTTCAAACACCTGTTTTACTGTTGAAAACAAGGGATCATGCCTTAGATTCTAGGAAATACCGGATTAAGAAATAACATGTTCCTAAGAAATATCTCAGCAGTAAGACCTTTGAAAGAAAGAATTTTTGAATTTCAATGAAATTATAGTGTAAAATCTAAATTTATTTCATTTTTAAAAAATTGGAATATTTAATCCTTTATATTTTGTTTAGGTTTTTATAATATGAACACGTGTGGTAATCTAAAGATTTAAGTCTTTTGTTTTAGGCTGTTGAAGTTTTCGTAGATTTGTAATAGCAAAAAATGTTTAGTTTACGAAAATCATGTCACATATTAATTTACACTTTGTTTTATTTAAATTGTTACAATAAATCTACGCAAGTTTTTCACCTAATATTTTTACTATAATTTTTTTCTAATTTGAAGACTATTTTTAATTAATAATTTATTTTCAAGTATTTTACTTTAAATAAGGGTTGGGTTTTTTAACAGTCAAAATCTTTCATGTTAATTGACTAGATTTTAACTTGTAAAATTGTCAAATTCAGTTAAAAATATGTTAACAGATTTTTTTGATTTTTTTTAACTTTTAACTTTTTAATGCTTTAATGCCCAGAAGGTAAAATCATGATTTTTATAAAAGAACGGCCAAATGTCCAAAAATACCGTGTTGTATAATAAAACTGAAAATGTAAATACAGATTTTTTATTTTGATCAGATTATAATAGGTCAAAATCTCTTCGATATTTGACATTTTACAGTTGACTACTTACTTTAAATTATTAAAAATGTTGAAGAATTTTCGTAGCAACTCAAGGAGACTTTAATGCGTTTATTTTATTTGCTAATGATCAAGCGCTTTGTTTATATGTATATATATATATTGTTATTAAACATGTATCAATTTTATAAATAAAATAATAGTGTATAAGTATAAGTATTATGAAACATAGCATCTTGTATGGTAGCATAAAAATATATATGATTAAAATTATACTGTCTTAAGTCTTAAAGTCAGGAGTGTGGTTTGAAATCGATCAGTTATGGATAATTCGTAAACAGTTTGAACAATTGGAATTATTTGTTTATTTAAATAGTCATATAGAATATATTTTTTTAATAATTCATTATAATAATAGACTCTTAGAGAGCCATTTCATAAGACTCCGCTTATTTTTATCACAGTATAATGTAGTGCAAGACTGCAATATATTGACTATCGCATTGAACATTTATTTTGTTTCCTCATTTTTATTGTTAGGTATAAATGATATTTGAAAGCAAAAAGTCTGTTCAGATTAGTAACTTTATATTTAGAATTCTAAATATTTTCCATCAATTAATTTAATTGGCGGCTCCTTTTGCTTTATGCGTTTTTTCCAAGAATAGGTAAAATTTAAAGTTATCAATTTGTTTAAAACAATGTACTTTTCACGAGTTTCTTATGAATCTATTAATAATACGTGAAATCATGTGTGTTAATATAACAAAACATAAATTACTCGAGTGAACAACTTCACAAACTTTTAATGTCTCGACTTATTGTTATTGTAAATTAACAAAAAGATACCAAATTCCAAAGAATTTAAGATATTAAAAGTACATAAAATCGGTCATTGTTAAAAAATATAAATAGCAAGAAACTCATGTGATAAATATGAATAGTTTTATTTTATTTGTTCTCTTGAAGTTTTTCAAATATCTTATTTTGTAAAATGTCTTTAGATACATGCTAATATCAATATGTCTTAATTATTACTTAAAATAATAATAATAATTAATTCGGTGCATTATTCAATTGTTTTCAAATAATAAACGAATTTTTTTCCAACAATATAAAGTTTTGTTTGTCTTGTCAAACATGACAAAGTTATTAATCGTATACAGAGTTCAAGTAATCTCTGTAGTGCGATTGCAAAAGGATAAAAAATATACATAATTTTCTGAATATGTGTACTGATCAGTTAACTACCTGCCAAAAATATGCTAAGATATTTAGCTGGAACCTCTACTCTTCGAGTATGTCGTATCGTTCGCAGATCAGTCAGAATATCAAACAATACACCACGTGTTGCTCGCAGGCGCTATAGATGTTTGCTCTTTGACGGTATTTTTCATGGTTTAAAATTAATTGCAGACCAAATTGACCAGACTTAAATAATTAGTTATGTATATCGTTCACTGTAGAACCACTTCTAATAGCTTGCGGGCAATATGTTCAGTCTATGCGTGTGTTCTAAGTACGTAAAGCGATCATTAAAATATGACCATTGATTCTATAACTTCTTCTCAAATCATACCGATTGTCATCTTTGATAAATTAGAGCTTTGATTATAAACTCAATAAAAGTTAATTTACATGTACACGACAGCAAGTATATTTAAACGTATGTTATTCTCAAAAATTCAAATCGTACTTTAGAATAATAAAATATTTGAAAATTTATTTTTTATGTCAGTAAAATAACAATTGATGATTATTTTTTATTGTATTGACATATTTATTTTAATTTTTTCAGAAACAAATTTTACTCTATGTTATTAAAAAATGAACTTACACAAATCATTTGAATTAAAATTCATTGTAATAATGTTTTGTTCTAGGAAAATAAAAATTATGAATCGTTTTGGTTGTAGTCTCGGCTTAACTTTTGTTTCTCAATTTCTTATATTGGCTCATTTGTATTAAATAAACTGCAAGTGTATTGTAAATTAATCAGGAATTAACCATTACAAAATTGTTCTCTAGTATACTAGTTTTGACATTAAAAAAAAAAAATTCTGTAACGGAATCTGAACCAATTTAAAGTAATTTGTTTAACAGTCTTGTTGTATTTTTAATGGTATGGCTATTAAGTTTCTACCTTATAATCATTTTTACGTGAATTTTTAAACTTGTTGAAATAAATCGGTCAATTTTAACACAAAATAGTGGTCAGAATTTATACCATCTTATTCAGAAAAATGTGTCGTACATCACACGCATATATGTGTTTGATATTCATTTTGGTTATTTACGTCTATACGAACAACTAGAATAAAATTTTTGGTGGTACTAAATTCATTTTTTCCCTACCCTAAATATTTTTTAACAATATATAGAGTAATTCTTCAATTATGAACCATAATACACTTAATTTATTGATACTAAAAATAATATTGATATTGATAGTTTCATGTTTTTCTTAATTTATAGCTTATGAAGTATTTTTATGTTCATTCCTTATAACTTTTTTAAGGGGGTTAATATACATAATTAATTAGCTTATTTATTAGATAATAAAGTAATGAAGAAAATGTTATTAAATTTTTTTTTATTTAAGTGGGAGGAGAAGTGAGACCGAGAAATACTAGTGATAAAAGTAGCAGCACTATCGCCTCGCCTCCAGTTTCTGTAATCCATCAGTCATTTTCTTGATTGGATCATTATCTATTAAATAAGCTAGTTAATTATATATGTTATTATTTGAAAAAATTGAATTAACACCCTCCTTATGAGGTATAAGGGACGAACATAAAACATAATTCATGATTAAATCATTATAAAAAAAAATTTCATTAAAAAAACATTTGTAAGTATTAAAATTTTCAAAGTTACTGTCGACAAAATAGCAATCCATTAATTTTCCACACGGTTTATAGTTTTGATCGAGCGGATGTTCAAACGAAAAAATCAATCAATGGTGTAATACGTGATTCTATAAAAATACTGATGTACTTGAAATTTCAAGTGATGCCGTTGCTTCAAAATACAATACATTAGTATTATTTTAATAACTGTCGATGAATTGAACCCGTCGACAACATGTCTTGGACATAGGCCTGTGTTACCCATGTAATACCATTAACGAAACCTTTTTTCCCGCATCTGTTATGGGAACTGGTGGATTCCGCATAAATCTGATGCGGATTTTTTTGTCCTGTATTATAATAGTTCATCAGTTGTTTTTACGGGTATGAACAACAACAAAATTGTGTTGACTCGAAAAAAGTCTTCTACAGTTTGAAATTTGAAAATATTTAGAGTCTTATTTTTA